GACATTGCACCTGCTCTCTGCACTGATAGCTATCTGTTGTACAAGAGTAATTGAGGCAAACCGACAGTGACACCAGTTATACTGCAAACTATAATATTCCACCAACTCGACACACTCATCATGAACATTTAATCTGTGTTGGGATCATTCCCAGTCCAAGGCAGCCAAAGGAGCTTTCATCTTTCCTCTCACCTCTTGATGATGAGCTGGCCAAACTTGCATATGGAGTTCTGACATTTGATGCTGACAAGAGGGTCTTGTTTGACCTACATGTGTACATCATCTTCAAACTGGGAGACATCCTTGCAATCCAGAAATTCCTGGAAATCAAAGGCCATAATTCCATCTTTCCATGCCAACTGTGCAAGATAAAGGCAGTGTATGGTTTAGGGAAGACTCACTACACCATGCTGCAACCCCCAAAGAACACCCCAAACCCCCTTATCTGGGATCCAGAACATCTCCCAATGCACACCCACCATGACTTTATCTCTACTTTTCAGAACATCAGTGAGGCACCATCAAAGGCTGCAAGGGGAAGGATCATGAAGAAGACAGGTATTTGTGGCTTACCTGGACTGTGTAGAGTTGCTTCACTGGATTATGCATGCTCAGCACCCTGGGAGTGGTTTCACCTCCTGTTGGAGAATGTTATCCCAAACCTCATCAATCTATGGACTGGACAGTTCAAAGGTCTTGAATCCAACACTGATGAATTTATGATTGCAGCAAAGGTGTGGGAAGAGATCGCACAAGAAATGATGGCTGCTGTGCAACATATACCCACAGCATTCATACAAGTTCTAGGAAACATTGCCATGAATTGCTCACAATTCACAGCTGATTTGTGATGCTTCTGGTTCTTGTATGTTGCACCCATCTTACTTGAAAATTGGTTTCTGAATCAGAAGTACTATGCACATGTGTGTGAACTCAGTGTGTTGATGAAGCTCATGTTACAGTTTCACATGACAGAGGAAGAAGTGGGTGACATCAAAGTATGGTTACAAAAATGGGTACAAAAATATGAAAAGTTAGTGTTTTGTTTTTTCCCTTCAATGTCAAGTGCAACAGCAATACTCATAAATTCTTTTTTGTTTGCCAGGTATTATTATCAGTACTGCATCAAATGTCTGCCAGCATGCACACTCACCATCCACAATCTACTTCATGTTGCTGAGGGAATCCATTACTGTGGTCCAGCTTGGACAATGTGGAGCTTCTTCATGGAGAGGTACCATGGGACATTGCAGTGATCAATGCAATCCCATGCCAGCCATGGAGCAACTTGAACAACACTTTACTGCACTCCATCATACTCAAGCAGCTTTCTGTGCACTATGATGTTTTGGCTGAACTTGCTTTGTGGGATGACTGTGGAGATGATGGACCAACAGCATTTGAACATGTATTTGAGGGATGTAAGTACCCCTCATTTCTGGTTTCATGACATGTAACTGAGTGCCACCAACATCAGACCCCAACCATATCATTTGCCCTCCATTCAAGAGGGTCACTCAGCAGGATCCTTCACTTCAGCAAAAGATCACTCAATATGTGGCTCAGGTATTAGGAAAGTGAGAGAGCGAGGTAAACATCCATTTGCCACTCCCAACCCTATTTGCTGGAAAGCTTCAGATACATGGAGGTGGCAATTTCTTCTGGACAGCAGCTGTCTCACATAGACCAGCAGCTCCAGCAAGGAGGAACTGCTATGTCAAGGTGTGCTTGATATCACTAATACTACACAGTCAGTTTAATGACATCTTACATGACCAGTACAAAGTAATTCTTGAGGCACATCATCATTTGGTTCAAGTTATCAGGTATGGTGATCTGGAGAAGCTATTCATGCTCACCTGGCCACCAAACAAATTCTTTGCCTCTCTGAGTGGCAAGACACTTGTCCTTGCTCTTACCACACCATGGAATACCAAAGGAAAGGACACTGCTGTCACATGCCAAAGGTGTTTGGTGAGGTGGACATGGATACAGCTGATGAATGGAGATGAAGACCATAGCCCTCATGTGAAGGACAGCCAGAAATGTTGGCAGTCATCCCTCACACAAGAATGAGTCATCAATGCCAAAGAAAAAGGAAGGAAGCAAGTTAAGTGCTGATAAAAATTCTTAAGTGCCTGTGTATGGCATTCCAGTTTTTGACATATCTCCACCAATTCTGCAGATACCAACACCATTGCCACACTCACTTATAGTGCTCAGCCACATGATCCTACCTTCCAAATTGGAAAGGATTTGCACACTCCACATGTTTCTATAGCACTCCCTCCAAAAGATGCTCATTTTGCTAATTCTTCTGATATGGCCACCTCCACATCAATAATTTCACTTGTCCCCTTTGCTAGGAACCATGGCTATGTATATCTACCAGGAGTTCCTACCAGCTTCTGTTCTGAAGCATCCTGGTACATCCCATCCTTGTCTGCCCCCTCTCAGCCCATCCAGCTTTGACAGCATGTTCTTTTTGTCAGTATGACCTCTAGGAGGATGTTCTTTGGTTGCCTCAGGTCTGTCATTCACTTGGAAAGGTCTTATGTGGTTGTTTCAGTCTCTCCAGTCAAAGAAGCATATGGATCCTTCCTCCCTGCTCCCTGCAATGTCTTCATACCAGTCTCATCCATCATTCTTCCAAAATTGTGACAGCTACAGTATAATCTACTGTTCTCCACTCTCCCTGATTGCATCCATGACAAGTATGATGCACATCTTGCCTCCTTATTGCAAGATACAGCAGAAGACACTCCCCCTTTGTCCTCTCTTCCAACAGAGCCTCATTCATGAAGTTTTTATTTGCTTCACTGAGAGGACAGTTAGGGGGGGAAGGTTGTGATCCCCTATGCTCCTGTCACCCCACAGATCCCCAAAGCTTGACCCCTGTTGACATCTGACTCACCCTGTCTGCTTTTGGATGTACTATATCAGCATCAGATCAGTGCTGCCTCTCTGTCATCCCACTTTGGCCCAGAAGCAATCCCTTAAAGATGTGACATGCACACCTCCCCCTAATGTGATTCCAGTGCGCTTTCCCAGTTTCTGACATTACTTGACTCATACTTTGACATTCTGACTGTCTTTGACACACCTATTGCCAATACTTACCAATCTTTTGACCTTGCTTACTGATTCTTCACTTTTTGGCTTACTTATCCTTACCAATGTTCACCAATGCTTTCTAAGACAATTACCCATCACTTACATTCCTTACTCATCAGTTACCAATCACTTACCAAGTGTTTGCACCTTGTTTTCCATAGGCAATGCCCCTGTACTGTATATAAATCACTGTACTTAGATAGCTGAAAAGAAAAGGAAGAAGATGTCAGAGAGCCCCTCTTGCTCACATTTTATCATCACTCAGTAAATCCTCCATCAGCTTTGATAGCTGAGACTTTATTAAGGGTCTAACTATTGTCTACTTTGCTTATTGTTGTTTATCATCAATCTACTTTGCTCCAAGTCCTCCCTGAGCTCAGTGCAGCTCAGAGCATTGAATTAAGTCATCATCCATCCTTCTGTGGGCTCACAGCAGTCTACCCTATTGCATTCGCTCACATTCCTGCTCCTTCTTCATCAGGAGCACCCCCAACCCTCAGCACTTGTCTTTGAGTGTTGTAGCTCACAAAAACCCACCCAGATAACAGGTTCTACCATCTAGGTACCACATAGGCACACCACCACTCACTCTCATTGTCTTTTGTGTTGGTTTTGGTTGGTTTTCACCACTGAACCACACTTTGACTCACACCATGAGTGAGAATACTTACTTGTTGTCCCACCATGCAACAATTGTCACTGACATGCAAAGCTTAAAGGCTGTGGTGGGCCTGGTCCCTGTAGGTAAACAGTGGGGTATCATTGATCAAATGTCAGCAGCATACACATGAGGTTTTGTGGATATGGGGACATGAGAGGGCACCCCAGAGGAGAACAAGAATGAGACAGAAGATGTAGACAAGCTTTTTTTACACTTGATGCTGTTTTTCAATGCTATGACACTGATTTTCCTGACCAACATTGAAAATCATACATGCAATTTACACCGATACTTAAAATCAATGTCAGATCAATGACACTGAAAAGATGCATCCATGACTTTAGTGTCACAGACACTGATTTTTAGTGATTTTCCTTTCTACAGTGGGAGTTGGACCATGGGTGTGCTGGTCCCATCAATGACTTCAGGTAGAGTGATCTACACAGGGATGGCATCAGTGGCTGTCAAAAGTGAGATCATGGAGCCTTGTCAGTTAATTTAGCACTTGCATTGTTGCTATTGTCATCATCATCATCAACAGAGGCAAGATTGAGACTGGGCAGAGTTCCAAAAGAGGCTGAACAGGCATCCACACACCTCCAACTGTGTCCACACTGTTGCCATCATCCTCAGCAACATGCCACTAACAAATCTGCAAATGGACCATCCAACTGGACCACAACACCTGCCAGACAAAAAGGTTGTTGATACTTGCCTCCCAGGATAGAAATTAGGTAATATTTACCACATCCTGAAGCTCGAAGAGAAATCCACATTCATAGAACAAAAGCAAACTATCTTACATGTTTGTCAACTGTGAAAATGCTACTGTATGGGATAAGGCAAGAACAGAATTGCTCTCAATTATGTAATTGCTTTTTACCTCCTGGTGACCAAGCACATGTATGAGGGAATTTAAATGCATGTCCATCTACTGTGTATGGGCCATGACTACCTCAGATGTCAAAACTTCATGTCCAGCTCAACCTACCATATAATTAGCAAGCTGAATGACATCTCAAGTATTGTGAGTGGGAAAAGTTTACCTTGGAGGTCACCTCTTTGACTTTGTTCGTAAAGATAATGTTGACTTCTTGCAGGCAGCCTGGTGCTACTTCATGACAGTCTTCACAGCTGCATTGCCAAACAGTACGGATTGTCTTTTCGATATTAGACTGGATTGTTTCTGAGCAGGGCTTGTCCTGCAAATCAGAGAAAGTGGAGTCTATGAAGACCTGCCACCGATCACCAAGGCCCATCCAACCTCAACCAGGTGTGCATCCACAGGTGCTGCTATAACCTTGTTTAAGTTCTTTTGGGATCCAAGAAAGGTCACCCTTAAGAGCCAGGATGGTGCTGCTGCACATGGCAATAATGAAAGGAGTTCTGCAGAAGTAATTAGCTCGACCTCCTCAAACCACCCTGGGATCAATGGCTCCTGGAGAGTGCATTTAGCAGCAAGCTCACATTTGTCCTGCATGCAGGTGCAGCCAGTGATTGCGAAGCAGTGCAGTGAATTTGTTTCCAATATTTTTGGAATGAAAAGAGATTTGTTCACTGCCTGCTGGATGGTGTCAGGAGAATATTTTTTTGTTGAGTCGAGAACATCAACTATCTCTCTGAAATCATTGAGCACAGGGTCCTCTGCCAGGGTGCAGGGGTAGCAGAAGTGGAGGAGTGAATCAAGTGTTTTGCTGCTTTCTGAGACAGGGATGACAGGGAGTCCGTCTCTGATCCCTGTGTCAGTGTTAGTCTCTTCAGATGGCTGAGGAAGATCGAAGAGAGTCTCGAAGAAGGGTGATGCAAGGGAGAGAAAGAGCCTGAAGATGTGGAAATCTATGCCATTGGATGAGCACAGAATCATGTCAGCTTTTTCATGATCAAAGGGGGTAATGCGAAAGTGTGTGAGTCTTCTGAGTTGGACATCTCACAGTTCCATGGCTGGAGTGTTTCCTTTCATCAGACTTGTCTGGATAGCAGAGAAATTTTTGCACGCATCTGAGGTAAAATATGAAGAGTCAATGTCTTTCATCTCTCACATTACATGTCGACTTTATAGGTGGGACAAGGTGTGTGTGCCCCAATTTTGGGGTATGACCAATGCGAGGTTCTTCTGGTTTCAATTCCCACTTTTGTTTGTGCCTGTAAAAGCAACAGGAAAAGACTAACATGATTGGTATTTGAGGCACCAGAGTATGGTTTATTGATCCTTATGAATGAAATTCAACAGGCACTTGAAGACCTCATGTTAGGCATGACCCACATCAAGGCTAGCAGCTGCACATCCCCAGAATTATATCTGGCACAAATTTGATCAACATGAGATTGCCAGCTCTGGGATGGGCTCACCTGGACCGCAGAGAAAAGGCTCCAACTGCCTTTTTGTCTGAAGCCTTTCAGTTCATCAATCCCTTTTCTTTTGGAGGCAGGGCCAGGAGGTTTATCGATGGGGAAAGATCCACTGCCAAGCTTAAATGGGCAACTATTGGGACATCCAAGCGAGCCAACAAACTTAGGGTGTACAGAGGTTGTATGTGTGCCACTTCCCCAATGATACCTGTGAGGGGGAAAGTTGTAGCATGAATTCAGCTGTTGCAGGGTAATTAAAGACATGCACACATGCACTGTGAAAGAACAGGGATATGGAACAGGAGCTATCTCTGATCTGGATGCGAGGAGATCATTAGGATGGACTATCTGGCCATGAGCTGTGAAGCAGGTCTAGAAACAATCAAAATCATTGCAGTATGGCAGGCAAGTATACCAGTATGAAAACCCAAAGGCCATTAGGAAACAGATAAAGGCCATAGTGCATACCTATGAGCCAAAAATGTTGCAATAAAGATTCAGTGAGCTATGGCAAGTATCCATCATATGCTGTTGTCATTTTCAGCAAACTGTACTTTGCACCAGAAGAGTATGCAGCACTATCATTAAGTTTCATTGTGAAGCCTGGAGAAGGAGGGGATTACTTTGGTTCAGTGGAACCTGGACAGGGGTATGGGAAAGGTTTCATCAGCACCCCCAGAGTGAATCTTGCTAGCAAATAAGATCTTCCCATTAGTTTTCCTAGGCAGAAACAAAGTTCTGCATGATGAATAATGGTCTGTTCATGATTAGATCTTTTTTTTTTGTCATTCAAAACCTTAGTGTTGTAAAAACCTACCCCATTGCAAGACAGCACATCAATCACAATTGAAGTTACACACCCAACTAATGAACTAATGTCGACTTTCAGTTGTCCAAAGGCTGCCCACACTTACCTCTCAGAATGTAGCACTATAGGTAATAGTGCCACACCATATCTGTGCTCTGAAGACAGATCCACATTCACAGAACAAGCACACTATCTTACACATTCATCAGCCATGAAAATGCTTTGAGGTAAGGTGAGAACAGAATTGCTCTTATAATCATTTGCTTTTTTTAAAAAAACTGCCAGTGGCCAAGCAGAAGTATAAGGAAACCTGAATGTATTTCAATCCACTGTGTCCCAGACATCAAAACTTCATATCTAGCTCAATCTACCCTGTGGTTAGCCAGCTGAATGATGTCTTCAGATATTGTAAGTGGAAAATGTTCACCTTTGAGGTCACCTCTTCAACTTTGCAAGTAAAGAGAATGTTGACTTCTCACAGGTGACCTGGTGCTACTTTGCAACACTTGTTACAGCTGCATTGCCAAATAGCCTGTATTGTCTTTTCAATGTTTAACTGGACTGTTTCTGTGCAGGGCTTGTCCTGCAAACTGAAGAAAGTAGAGTCTATGAATGCCTGCCACCAATCACCAAGGGCTGGCATACCCCAATCTTCATTGTGTTGGCATCAGCCAGAGATGCCATGACCTTGTTTAAGTTCATTTGGGATCCAAGAAAGGTCGCCCTCAAGAGCCAGGATGGTGCTGCTACACTTTTGATGGTATGTCAATAATGAAAGGCATTCCAAAGAAGTAATTAGCTTGATCTCCTCAAACCGCCCCAGAATCAATGGCTTACGGAGGGTGTATTTAGCAGCAAGCTCACATTCGTCCTGCATGCAGGTAGGCAATTGCGAAGCAGCACAGCAAATTTGTTTCCAATATTTTTGGAATGAAAAGAGATTTGCACACTGCCTGCTGGATGGCATCAAGAGAATATTTTTTTGCTGTGTTGAGAACATCAATGACCTCTCTGAGATCCTCGAGTACAGGGTCCTCTGCCAGGGTACAGGGGTAACAGCAGCAGAGGAGTGAGTCTGGCATTTTGCTGTCCTCTGAGACAGGAATAACAGGGAGTCCATCTTTGACCTCCATGTCAGTGTTAGTCTCCTCAGATGGTTGGGGAAGATTGAAGAGCATCTTGAAGAAAAATGATGTAAGGGAAAGGAAGAGCCTGAAGATGTGGAAGTCTATGCCATCAGATGAGTGCAGGATCACATCTGCCTTCACATGATCAAAGGGTGGTGATGTGAGAGCAGGTGAGTCTTTTGAGTCAGACATGTTATAGTTTCACAGCTAGAGTGTCTGTCAGGCATGTCTGCATAGTGGGGAAATTCATGCACACACCTGAGATAAGGTATGATGAGTTGATGCCTTTCATTGCTTGCTTTACATGTTCCCTTTATATGTAGGACAAGGTGTGCATGTGCTCTGATTTTGTGGTATGGCAGATATAGGAGAAATCATGTCAGCATTTCTCCTTTTTTTTCCTGGACACATCCTGGTCCAGGTCTGAAAACTGTTTTGCCCCCCATGTTTTTGCTGGACCAGTATGCCAGGTCATCCATTTTGGGAGGGCATGGGATTTATGGGGGTGGCGAGGCATTTGGGGGATCTTTGCATGCACTAGTGTTAATGATGTCCTATGATATGCAAGCATCTTAGGTCCATGTGGACAGGACAGTGGTGCACACCACTTGGTGGTTAACTCTTGGGATTTAGACAGTGCACATGCTGTATCCTATGAATTTCTTCATCAGGAATATTCTTTTGATCGTGTTCCAGTTACAGGTGTGATAAACCGACTCTCTGAGCATCCCTTAGGTCCCTTCCTCATATGCATTCCTTCAAGCATGTGTGAATTGGTTGAACAGTTTCCCTTTTTTTTGGTAGCCCATGTGAGGGCAATTGTGCAGATTCATGGTGTGTCATTGCATGGAAGGTTGCAGTGGAAGATGTGTAAAGATGCTCTACACTTGCATGACTGTGCAGGATCCTGTCCATGTGTGATGTATGTTTTTCATGTCCTTAAGCATCCTTGGCAGAATTTTATATTCATGCCCAACCTGCATCAGCCATGCAGCTCTTATTTCAATGAGTGTTACATGAAAGTGAAGGAAAACACTAAGAAGCAATGGCAGTGATGAGTGGCAAATGCACTGGAGGGTCAGGCTCTGGTGGGCACTGCTGCCGAACCCCCCCCCTGGTGTGAGTCAAAGTGTGGAAAGGTGGTATAAACCAACCAAAACCAACACAAGAGACAAATAATAGGCAAGTGGTGGTTTGCCTTTGTGGAACCTGGAGTACAGAAGAAATCTAATGTGAGGGGGATTTCAAAGGTAGGTGCTCCTGGCACAAGTTGTTGACAAGTTACACCAGACAAAGGGAATGAATGATGAGAGGGTGAAGGAGGCTGAACAGAGTGAAGGTATTCAGCCAAAAGTACTCTGTGGGAGGGACACTGACTGCAGTAAGGAACTTGGATAGAATGAGCTCCTAGCACAAGTCAATGTCAAGTTACACAGGAGTGAGAGGATGACTAAGTGAGAGTTGCTGACTAAGCATGAATGACACTGCTGATGATGACTAGAGGTAGATAGACCCTTCTGAATGAGCATCAACTACCAAGGATATGAATAATGACAGATAGACTCTTCTGAATGAGCCTCAACTGTTGATGACAAGTTAGGACTGAGATGAACTGATTGATTACTGGGTGACTTCTTCTTATTGCTTTTTTGTAGCTAAGTACAGGGGGTTTATATACTGTGGGGGGAGCACAGCTTGTGACAAACAAGGCACAAATGCTTGGTAAGTAATGAGCAAGGACTGAGTAATCATGATGAGTAAGCAAGAAATGAAAAGTAAGCAAGCAAAGAAGATTGGCAATAAATAAGTCAAGGATAGTCAGAATATCATAGAATGAGTCAAATGGAGTCAGAAACTGAGTAAGTGCACTGATATCACATTAGGGGGTGGCAATGCAAGTCAGATCTTGGCAGAGACATCTCTAGGTCCAAAGATGGCATGACAGATGGATGGTGTTTCCAGATAGGGAAGTATTAATTCCAGAATTGAAGGGCATGAGTCAGGCATCAAAGGGGCTAGGGCATTGGGGGTCTGTGGGGCAATAGGAGCATAAGTGATCACATCTCCCACCCTTTCATCCTCTCAGCAAAGTTAACAAAAGCTTCATGAACAGGGCTCTGACAGAGGAGGAGGAGAAGGGGGGACATCTTCTGCTGGATCTTGCAGTAAGAAGGCAAGATGCATGTCATACTCATCATGAATGTGATCAGGGAGGCTGGAGAACAGTAGACTATGCTGCAGCTGTCACAGTGTGGGAAGAATGATGGATGAGATTGGAATAAAGACAGTGCAGGGAGCAGGGAGGAATGATCCATATGCTTCATCAACCAGGGAGACCAAAAAAACCACATAAGACCTTTCTAACCAAGTGACAGACCTGAGGCAACCAAAGAATGTCCTTCTGGAAGTCATACTGACAAGGAGAACACACTGACCAAGCTGCATGGGATGAGATGGGGCTGACAACAATGGGATGAACCAAGGGGCTTCAGGATGGAAGCTGGTGGGAATGCCTGGCAGATATACATAGCCACTGTCTCTGGCAAATGAGACAAGTGAGATGATTGACAAAGAGGTGGCCATGATTGATGGACTTAGCAAAATGAGCATCTGATGGATGGAGTGCTGTAGAAATGCATAGGGTGCAAGGATCCTCTCCAAATTTGGAAGGCAGAACTGCATGGCTGAGCACTTCAAGCAAGTGTGAGAACAGAGTTGATATCTTTGGAAATGGTGGAGATATGGTGAAAACTGGAATGCTGTACACAGGTGCTAAAAAACCTTTAATGCATGCTTAACTCACTTCCTCTTTTCTCTTTAGCACTGATGACTTGTTCTTGTGTGAAGGATGACTGTTAACATCCAGCAGTCTTTCTACATATGAGGCCTTTAGTCTTCATCTGCATGGCATGGACATTGCATGCAACTCATTGACAAGTTAGGCAGAGTCAGCTGTAACCATGTCCACAACACCTTTGGTGTGTGACACTGGTTACCCCATTCCCACCACTACAGTTGTTTGCTGTGAAACACAAGATTATTTGAGAGTGGCAGGCAGAGATGTCCTCTTACCATTTGCAGGAGGGTGTTTGCACTGTCTGTGCTCAGGTTTTTGCTGCTGAGTTGCTTGTTGATGTCATTCTGAGTAAGGAGATGTTATTGACCCTCAACAATGATTGGTTGCCTGTGGAGACATGGCCTCATACATACAATGTTGCCAAATATGAGGGTGTGATTCTGTGTTGTCATGGCATGCACTGTGTGGACAACATTGGGGCCCTTCATATGTGCCCCTGCTGTTGCAGATTGCTGAGCAGATGGTATCCGAGGCAGCCAAAAGACACAATTGTGAACTTTGAGTACTATGGGCTCAGTGAGCTACCTGTGGAGGTGAGATCCATGCTGGCTGGTGTGACTGTGATTACACATCATTATCAGATGAAGGGTGCACACAGTGGTTGTTTTCCAGAGAAGGTGAGCCAGCAATTTAATAGAGGAAATGTTGCAATACTACTGCAGGATCCCAGTGCATTGTGAACGATACTCCCCCCATCCACTGCTGAGATTTAGGGCGCAATGTGTGTTGTGTTTGCTGGTGGTGCTTATCTTCCAACCTTGGATGCTTTATGCAAATTTCCTCTGGTGCTTGTGAGTAAGGGCAGGGTTCAGACGTTAATTGAATGGCTTGTTGCTCACAACATGTGGTATAAGGCAAACAGTGTCACATTTTTGCAGGATATTTTGGAGTCCTTGGTGGTTGGAGATGGTGAGGAGGGTTTGTTGGCTGGGATGCAAATTACACACCTGCCTGATGCAGGTGCAATGCCCACTTCCTGTGGGTTTGAGTGGGAGACACTGTCAAATGATCTTGTCATGGAGTGTGTGGCCTGTACTCAAGGTGATCACTTGGAGCATTCATGTTGGGCTATGAAGGCTGGGGCCCACACCCATGCATTGCAAGGCAAGAAGTTCATTGTTAGTCAGATATTTGGGACACTAATGAGGATGCATCCATCATTGACTTTGATTGTCTGTGCTTGGAAATAGATAGCCTGAGTGAAGCAAGTGACGATGACATCAGTGAAGACCCATCAGAAGATGGGCACAACAGCGACAATGACAATGAAGACAACAACACAGTGCCAGTCAAGAGAAAGTCTACAAACCTACCAGCCTCAGAAGTATGTAGCAAGATATCCAAGTCTGGCACATGCAGATCATCAGGTGAGTAGCATAGATGATTTGTTATGTACTAATCATCTACAGACCATTGTAATAGATCATAATGAAGTTCCAAGTCATCCTTGAAAAAAAACAGTGCAAAGAAGAATCAGAAGATGAGCATGGTGGCAAAAGTGACAAAGATGATAATCTGGCACCAGTCAAGAGAAAATCCATCACACCAGCCTCACTGGAACACACTAAGCATAGCAAGATGTCCAAGCCCTCTGGGTGACTATTGGGTGAGCTTCACAGATCAGACCTCATATGTCACTAACTCTCTCTCTCTCATCTCACTAGATGATAGCAAACTTCATCTGCAGAAGCAGTAGTGGGAGTGAGCTGACATTGCTGAAAAGCAAATGGCAGTAATGGCCAAGCCTGGCCCCAAGGCAAATGAGTATAGCAAGCTCAATGACAGTGTAGGAAGTGTTACCTGATGTTCAGTCATACTCACCAAAGCAGAATGCTTGAGCAACCAAGGCACCCTCAAATTCAAAGGTATTCTATGTGGGCTAATGACACACCTGTACTGACACCAGCATTACAGACCACTGTAGGACACTCTATCAAGATCATGAATGTGAGATTGCCTCCAAGTGAGGATGAGGACAAGGATGACACTGATTATCACAACCTCACTGCCACTGATGACTGTCCCATCACAAGTCACCAGCTGCCAAAGATGTGTCCTGGAATGGACTGCAAAGATGCAATCCCTGACAGTATTTCCAACCAGCTCAAGACTGCCTTGTCCACCTACATTGGCCTCATCAAGGAAAGGAAGACCAATATTCATTTGGAGATGGATATCTGTATTTTAATCAAATGAGAGCACCATCAGCTCAAAGCCCTCAAGGATGCAGAGGCAAAAGGTTGGCCAGCCATGAAAATCAAGTTCAAAAATATTCCCTCTTGCATTTTGGAAATGTACGATGAACTTGAGAAACTCTTGTTTGATGTGGAAGCACACGAGAACCTCTGGCTCTGGACCTGTTTTGAAGCTGACCCTGAAGTGAATCATTACACATTACCACAGTTTTCTTGAATGCATGTCCCTCCAATGTCTTCAGCAATATGGGAAAACTCATGCTGTGGGTAGTAAGTAGTCTGCATTATGTGCCTTGAGAACATTTAAAACTGATGGCATCACAGCTACAGTTTGAAAGGCACTGCAATTGTTATGCACACACTACTCCAGCTATTTCCACCAATGATGTCCACTGATGCTTTTCAGCCTCTCTCACTTTTGCAGTACCTAACCTACTTTGTAATTCCCCATGTCATGTGTCAGTTTGTCACTCAAGACTTCAGCCTTTTGTCAACCATGCCCACACACAATATCATGGTAGAAAGTAACAATGTTGGCAAACTGATCAATCCCAAGCATGATGATGATGATGAGCTCAATCAGATCAAACATGCAATGACATTTGCTCTTAAACAGAGAAACCTCAAGGGTCAAACAATCCATGATGCTGCAAAGGCACTGGTTGCACTTCAGTATGCAAAAACAACTGATGTTCTGGGCACAAGTGGCATGCATTTTTTACTTTGATCTCATAGAGCTGACAGCAATAGGATCAGTCAAATGCTTGCCCAAAACCACATCTTGTGCTTCATCCACCAAAGGAGGGAGCCCCTTGCACATCTAGTGTTTTGGGTCAGCAAGAAACCATTCAGGTCCATTGAAACATAGCAATCTGACTACAGAATTACTACACACCACATTTCAACCATCCAGGTCACTGCAAGCACTAGTGGTGCTTGCATAACCACAACTATGAGTCATTCTCAAGTACTGGGGAAGAAGCCTCATGGCTGGTGAAGTAAGAAGGCCCTGAGGCAGTTGAACAGGATCCTCAGGCTGGGGACACTGCAGTGGTGGTAAACCCACTCTCTTACCTCTTGGTTGGCTTGCTAACAAGGTCCATCCTGACATAATTCAGACACAGGCTCGATGTGCACCCCAAAGTGCATGATCAAAACATTAGGTCCACATCTAAATCCTCCTCCCTCACACATTTTCAATTGCTGCTGCTCAACCACTCTCATTTGGCTATCATTGCACTGCCAGTTGCTCCTCCTCAAATTTCAATCACTTTTGCCAGACTGTTTTCATTTCTATCACTACTGTGTTGCTCAGTCTTGTTAGCTCCTGCTGGACTTGTGACAGATTACTGACACTTTCATGGAATACCCTGTTATATGACTGTGCTGTAGGTGTCTCTGTAACCTCAGGTAGCATTTGAAATTGCAATTTTGTGATTTGCCTGGTTATTTCCATGGCAAGTGGGACATGTGTAAGTAAGCATGAAAATCTGTGCTAGTGAAGTGGAAAATGAGCACTTGCATCAACTTATTACAGTGTCACGACATGGAAAAACAACTACAAGGCACTGTTATTCAGTACTTATGACATTTTTTTTTCAGTGATGAAGACACTATTTTTTACTAGACCAGATGGGCACTTCAGCATCACATTATGATGCTGAAATTCAATGACAGATACTGATCTTCAGCTGTTCCAACATTTAATAGAAGTGATTTAGACATTTATTTTGTGATTTTACTTTTTACAGTGTCCATCTACACATGGGTGGGAGACCCTCTCCATCCTCTGCATTCTGTCAGGACCAACCATGCATGCAAAGATCATGCCATTTAGGCATGGAGGCCATACTAGTGACAGTACACCCACATCCCACAGTCATTGGAGCATATCATCCAATTAGTCCTGTGAGGCTAAACATACACCTAAAGCAACCATGCTAAACCATGTGGGCCATGGTGTTTTGCAAAGCTGGGCTGTCATTGTGGGTGGTTGGTCCTCCTTTGACATTCCAATGACTACTACAGTGGGTTGTTAGAATGGATCTGCTACTTCATAATTTTCTCCTACTGCACATCTGTGGTGGTCCTCAACCATCAATATATCAGCCTTCGCTTTGTACACAGTTATGGGTGCTGTCCCCAAATGTCCAAAACTAAAGTTGTTGATAGGTGAGGACTCCCCTAATGTGTCTGCTGTTTTCTCACACTCATCATGCTATTGGCACCCAAAGATTGATTGATACCATTTCCATCATAGGTATGTGGTGCAAGAGGGAGGAACTGTTGATTGTCTGTTGGGTAATAGATGTATAGAGACCTTCTCAAGAAAGTATTGTCATTCTTGGTTCAGAACATCAGTTCTGGCTAGGAGTTGAGCATTCAAGATTCACCCTGGCAGCACTGAAAAAACCTTTCCTGCATCCTGTCCAAACCACCCTGAACTGAAGTGATTCCACCTTTTTCCAAGCTTCACAATCTGAATGATGGCACTGTGATTTCTGTAATACTCTTCTGATGTAAAATACATTTGTTGAAAATGATGACAGGGTGTTGTGGAGACCTGCCATGGTCCACTGAATCCTTATTGCAACACTTATGGCTGACAAGTATGTGGGCTTTGTCTGTCTGCAGGAGACCCTTCAGTCTTCAGATTGTGGGTTTTCATCCTAGTATATTTGTCCATCATGCTGTGATGGTTTTCTAGACCTGCTTTACCACATATGACCAGCAAGTTTATCCTAATCCCATTCCTCAGTCTTGTTTCACCAGTGTGCACATATCCCCTGTTATCCTGTAGCATGCTGCCAACTTCCATCTCATGTGTATTACCAGGGGAGTAGTACATACAACATCCCTTCACCCAAGTTTAACCACTTGCTTGAATTACCCCTTGTCAGCCAAAGGTTCTTGGAATGAGGGGAATGAACATATCCCAGGGAACCCTGCTATCCTGGGTGGCCCCCAGCCACTCAGCCTGTTTATTGAGTGATAACTGATGCTTTGAGATACCATGTGCTGCATCATTCATCATTCTGGATTAGCAAGAAATCCAGTGAGCTATCAAATAATTACAACACATGAGAACACATACTGCTGGAGTGGGCTCACTGGACCATGATCTGGGACATAATTAGTCACTTCCCTAAAAACCCTTCCAAAAGTGGAAACCTAGTGGAAGTGATTACCAACTTGGTTATTGTGGCAGAGTGGCTCAAACCTTCTGTTTTCCTTGCTTCACATACTGATCAGCAACCTTCCAACCAATGTCAGCCAGCATCAGGGGACAAGAGAATTGACATGCTTCTCTCAACACTTGCACAATTTCAGAAGTGACTCCATGCCAGCATATTAGTAAGATCTGATGTGCACATGCCTTCAGCCAGCCAGCCAACAACAACAGTTGCTGAAATGCCACCTTTCCAGCAATATCTTCCACCAGTGCCTGCCTTTCAAAGTCATTTATTGTTCTATCAAGTGTCTTTCGGAGTGTCCAGACTTGTTCTACCCCAGAGAGAAATTTCTGCCTGAAGAAGGTCAGTCATCAGCATAGTATGCCACTGAACAAGGTAAATGATGAGGACCTATCAAACTTTGTGCCCAACCTGCAAGAGCTAATTGGCAGTGAGCTACACTGTAAGTTGATAAATGTTATCCTTACCCAGGTTTCCAGTCACTGTAGGTGGTAGCAATGACCTGAAGAATCTTCGCACCTTGTAATGAACAAGAGTCACTCAAATTAATGAATAGGAATGGACTTGCCTCTGCAGAAAAGGGTGCCAACCTCAACTCTGTTGCCTTCTCCCACAATTTCATATGGCAAAGGGATGGATGGTTGCTGAACTTTGAGTCAGAGTCTGTTCCTAGGTTGAATCTAACCCTCCGATCATCAAACTGCATCAAGAAATTGACCAGTGCTTGAATGCGTAGCTTCCATGGCACCACAGTAGAGGTGCTACCCAAAGGCTCTGGGTTCATTGCAAATGAGCACATGGCATTTGCTTCTGTGCAGGGCTCACCATAGATTCCTGCCCCCATTGTGAAGGGTATTTCATTAAAGAAAGCTATCTCCCCAATCTGAGTGGATAGAACAAGGTCAGAATCTCAGGAGGTCAATATGAACAGGAAGTAAAGGCCCACAAAATCATTGAAGTCACTGCCACCAAATATGCCCAAAAAGAATTTAATGGCAGCCCCACAGGTCACTACCCCACTTGAATGCCCTGGCTTATACAACTCTGTCTAGGAGACATTCATGAGCCACAAACTGACCAGATGTGAAAAGGAATTAATAGGAGACTTACCCATCCAACTAAAACTGAGAAGTTATGTCTACATAATCAGGTAATATAAGTATCAGCACTACCAACTTGAACAAGCATTGCACCTACATTATCGCCTGGAGCATCTCCATGACTTCGCCATGTTCTAGACATTGTTGATCAGTCAGTTTATTGGGCTGCAAAAATGTATGTGTTATTAAGTAATGCACAGAGGGGGGTCCCAATACAGAAAGCACACTCACATGATGTACTTGGGACCCAAGCATGCCAGGACAATTGGTTATATTGATCGCAACGAAACAAGCCTCCACCCTCCAATCATTATTAACCATAACAGAGACATCTTCAATAGATCGACGAAGGTGGATATGCCGGGTAAATTTTCTGGGGTTCTTCAGCTGACTGTTGAACAGTATCTCCAAGGCTTGAAACCGCAAGAATGCCATCTTGCATTCCAAATTCTCTGGACACAAGGTGGCAAATGCAGAGTGACGCCCGGCACAATATCTGAGAAGGACTAAAAAGCGAGTTTTGTCTTTCCTGCAGATGTAAGCAATGGCAGCAAAATCCTTGTCTTTCGAGAGGGAAACTTGATTTCCTCTTACTTCTATGCCATCAGGCAGGACACGGTCCCGGACGAAGCCACAATGGAAAAGTGCCTCTTCACGCAATTCGGAAGTGTATGTAGTCGGGTACTCGGCTGCTTTATATGGAAGGAAGTGCTGCTTGAGTTCTAGCTTCCCAGATCTACGGATGTATGGAATGGCAAAAATTCTGAGAGAGGTGGATCCGAAAAGCGCCAGGCGTATGGTTATCTCCCCGCTGTATTTGGTGCGGCATGCCAACTTGACCTCGGAAAGTGGCCCGAAGGATGTGGTGGGTAGCCACATTTGTATGCCGTCATTAGTCACGGTAAACGTGCGAAATCGTTCTGCGGGAGTTTTGCTGAGTTCTTCTTTAGGGATGTCTTCCTCGAGGTCCTTGATGATCTCGTCGGGTGACAACAACTCGACATCACCGCAATCACTGAAGTAGCTTGGATCATCCGCCAAGAAGTTATTGGACCATCCAAATTCCCTCGAGTGGCCCCAAGCAAAGATGCTCTGATCGTTAGATGTGCGAATGATTTCGAGCTGCAAACGACGAAACGCATTCTTCCCTTCTCCATACAACATCGGCATGTGCACTTTGAGGAGCCCCAATAGCGAGTACGATCGGTCCTCTTCACGTGTTGTCGTGCGGTCAGCAGCCCAGGAGATAACCTGGGCTACACAGGGACGAACCCTTGGATCTAGTCCATGCTTCAGGACGTACTTCGGAATTCGCGTAGTGTCACTGAGAATGTCTGCAAGTTTTTCTCTGTCACCTATGCATTCCCACCTCCGATCGAAGAAGTAGACAACCTTGGGTGCGATAAGTTCTTGCAGTGTCCAGCCTCGCGAGAACCACCTTGGAATGAGCATCGATTCTCCTCGGTTCATCCAGTCCCCAACAGCGTCGTGGAGGTAGGCATAACACACTTCTGCACTTTCATACCACTGGTACATCGAGTTGATTGCTTCTGACAGTTCAGCGCTACTGTCTTTATTGATGCAGCATGTGTCGACCCACACCCATTTCAAGCCGTCCTCTTGTGCTTGCCTGCAGGTAAGGATGATTTTCTGGTATCCAGGGCGCTCCCTGATCTCATTCCTCTTCTCCTGGGTCATACTCAAGAACTTCTTCACCTCCTTGAAAGACACTTCTTGGTCTACCTCGCCCCAGCAATGCGACAGTATGGCATATCCCTTTTCTATGAGGGCATTGCCATGGAGCTCAGCGAGGATTTTAGTTGTAGGGTCAACCCTCTCCCCTTTGTCGATACTTGTCTCAATGCAGAGTAGAGCATCAGCGTCAAGAAGTCGCATAGTGTAACTGTAATCGATGAGTAAGTCCACCCTGCAACGATCCCAATGTCACACACTTAATGTGAGGTCTCGAGTGCCACGATCACTAGGTTGATCTAACGAAACGAGAGGGAAATGTGCAGGATGGTCAATTTGTTCGATAGAGATATTACAAGGCGCGTGTGCTCTTGACCCTCTGCTGAGCTACAATGATGATAACAATCCTCCCACGCAGAGCGCATCTGAAAATAATCACGTGCGACAATTCTACATACTTCGGCATCCAAATATGTAAGTACTGTACTTCGTGGCCAGCAAGTTCAGCTTAACTGATTTCCTCTCATCAAGATCAGCAATAGCTCCTCTTCTCTTCCTCTCCTGCACGTGTGCTCTGTATATTTCCTGCAACGGAAGAATTCATGCCCAAAGTCTGTGCACTCCATATGTCGGCAGCGGAACGGTGCTCATCCAGCCTCCGCACTCCCCCAGTCCACCGGCTTGCTCGAACTCTCCTGTCGCTGTTCGGAAAAGGACCATCGTCCATCAATAAACCTGTTGGCCATGCCTCGATTGGAGAAGTGGTCATCAAACCGACATTTGTCAAGGAAAAATGGCTGTTGGATGCAGCATCTTCTTACTACCCTCGGTTGGTCACAAAGTGCTAATCTTGATGCCGATGGGACCCGCGGCAGATATAATTCCAGGGTGCGTGCGTTGGGATCTAGCCTCGACTGTGTGTTACGTCTTACGCGAGGTCTTCAGATACTAGCTGATTTTTATTCGTAGACATCCGTTGTCCATGAACTGCACCCATTATTTTGCGAATTCAAATCGTTGTTCGTCCGTCGTTTTCCCGTTTAGGCACGCAACGACGAAAACCGGAATCGAAGGAAGCGGAGAATATGGTATCATAGTTTTTCCCGCTCTGGTCATGGCTCTGAATCGGGGCACGCGTTCACGTTTGTCTACCTATAAAGGTGATATCTGCTGCGAGTGATGAAAGCTGTCGAGCTTTCGCACAGTATCTCTGTTACGTGGAGGAATTTCCCCATTACTTAACCCAGTCTGACAGGGCGTGACACTCTAGCTGTGGGTCTATAACATGTCCGACTCACACGACTCACCCGCTTTCACATTGCCATGGCTGGAGTATAGCTTTCAAAAGCAGTGCGTGGACATTTCCGGTTTCCGGATGAGTGGCTGTCATCGTTGTCATCCCCATCGCAAGCTCTTGCTGGTCGTTTTTGTTTTTGCTGGGAATTTTGCACAAGGATTCTCGCTCCTATGCTGTTGGTGGTGAAACACGTGCGACATTGCAATAATGTCTATTTCATCCTGCAATATTGCTGTTTTTGCAGAATCACCAAAATCCTCAAAAATCAACGGCCGCGTATCGACCTACAGATACTGTGCTCCCATGGTACTAGTAACTATGCGAGATTCCGGTAGTCTGCTTACAAATAATTTTGAAGAACTGACTTCAATGGTGAGCCTCTCTGCAATGATACCCAAAGATGTGATTTAACCTGTCAACTATGCATCGGGTCGAGCTGGACCTGAAGTTCTGACATCTGAGATGCGCTTTGGTCTGTTGTTGAAGGTTCCTAGTCTGTGACACAGCCGCAGAGCGTTAGCATATTCTCGGCTCTGCCTCACTGGACTAAACATATCAATCGATAGGCGTGCAGGATATTAGTCTGCCTGTACCTGTGAATATAAACTTCGTCCCTACTATTCGGAATTAATATGTTGGGGTCACATTGGCAAGCATACGGGATTGTACCTTGCTCAGAACAGGTGTCAGTAATGAGTCTGTAGGGAAGGAGAACGCTGCTCATCGATTTATTCCTGAATTCATTGATTGCTTATTCCTCTGCCACTGAGTCAGAGGCATAAGTATGGGTGATCTGGCCTTCACTCCAGGGATTCTTCCGGTTTTATTCCCTCGTCACTCATATTCCTGCAGGTTACCACATAACTACAGTAATTATTTCAGAATCTCTCTTGCGAGATGGTGCTTGCAATGGTCAAGTACGTCACTTGACAGCGGAGGCTGGGGTCGATGTATTAAACTTGTGACTGACAGTCGATTTCTCCTTCGACAGTGGCACTGCTGCACATGCCTCGTCACGGCTATTTGCAGTTCCGAGGTATGAGACCGGTTTCCTTTCCATCATGGAGGGCATACACTAACTCAAGGACCGCGCGCAGACCCCTCTATCAGGATCAAAACGTTCCTGTTCCACTTTCAGGACGTTCCTCTCGACGCCCGTGGCTGTCAACGGGCATCCCTATACCCTCCATCCGCCCGGACCTAGTGATTTGCCCAAACTGTCAGGTCTTTTTTTTTTTGCCTGTTCAAATGCAGGAACGGATCGTCATCCATCAATAATCCTCCTGGTCCTGCCCTCAAAGGAAAAGGCGGTCACACACCCAGATTCTCGGGATAAAGGCTAGCTGTGGCTGCTCCATTTCAAAGTTGTTATTTTATGTCAATGGCACCCATGCCAGATATCGTTCATCCTGGTATGTTCGGCAAGGTGCGTTTTGAATTTTCACTCGCAAAACACCGATGAACCGTACATCTGGTATCATATGCACCAATTTTACGCATCCAACCCTTTCTTCTGTACATGTACCTGCGAAAAGAGGAACCGGAATGATGAAAGGAATGATAGCGGGATCAGTTTCGTTCGGATCGACACCTCGAAATCGGCACATATGTACACCTTGATTGATCTATAAAGGCCTCTAATATGAGGAACGAAGGCAGTCAAGTTTTCGCACCACACTTCAGGTTCGTGTTTGTTTTACCCATTACCCAGATGGATACAACACTACGGAATGCTCTAGCTGTCGCAACATAGCACGTCCGATACACCAGACACCCCTGTGACCGCCTAACTCCCTTCAACTACGTGAAGGGCAGACGCGATCTTGTGCTTACCTGGCGGCACTGACATTCGTGGCTTCAGGCTCTTCCTCGCCCTTGCATCACCGGTCTTCGACACCCTTATCAACGCTTCCCGACTGTCTGAGGAGACTAGCTCGACCGTAGTGTCCAATGCCGGTGTTCCAGCACACTAGACTCGCCGCTCCGTTTTTGTTATCCTTGCACTGTAACAGAGGATCCCAAGCTCGAGAATTTCAAGAGGTCGTTGGCGTTCTCGAGGCAGCCAAGAAGTATTCTCTTGATGCGATCAAGCGGACTGCGTGTAGATCTATGTTCAGCCCAGAAATATTAGAGGTGAATCTGTTGCGCCGCCCCGTGGTCGCGTGTCACCATCTCCTGCCCGATGAGTGCATTGTAGCTGCTAAATCTACCCTTCGGGAGCCCCTGGTTCGTGCGTGGTTTGAGGAGATTGAGCTGGTTACATCAACCAACCTTCGGTTATTGTTAGTATATCACGTCGCCAACCAGATATAGATGTGATGGACATTGCACATGCACGTGAGTGTTCTGGAGTCAGTTGTGACTACGGGAGTTTGATACGAGGCTCGTTAAACGATAAGCTGTCGTGAGGGTCGCCCTGAGAGGCGAAATTGGGACCCAAGCGACCGATCTCTTTTCCGAGGGGTGCACCGTTGCGCGGGACCGTTGTGGGAGGAAGAGCAGAATATTGACCTTGGCCCGCAGATAAGCCCGTGCAGGGGTGAGTCCTGCCCTCGTGAGTGCATCGAGGTCGGGGTTGGGTGGGTCGCCTGGCCTTGGAGCGATGATACCAGCTGCATTGTGGGGGGAGACTGACGACGGATGGGGCCCGGCCATGCGTTGAAGGTGGAACGAGGGCGTGGCCGGGGTGTTGAGGAAGGGTACTGCGGGTGATGATGGTGATATGAGGGGTGTTGGTATTGTTGAGACTGTCTTGGCTGGCTGTAGTAGCTCTGCTGCGAGCGAATCGAGGCTGCATGGGACGTGCGCTTGTCTGCTGGCTGATACCCTGGCTGATGATAGACAGGACGGGTAGCGGTGGGTGGTAGTACTGGCCCTGCTGGGGAAGCAGATGGTGCGAGGTGGATGGTCTCCCGAAGATGGACTCGTATGCTTCGTGTCTTTTGTCTGGCGGGTGTCGTGGCCCAGTTGGACGGTCCATTTGCAGATTTGTTAGTAGCGTGTCGCTGAGGACGATGGCGACGGGGTGGACACGGTTGGAGGTGTGCGGACGCCTGTTCAGCCCGTTTTGGAACTCTGCCCAGTCCGACAAACTCGCCTCCCGTCGATGATGACGATGACGACCGCAACGACGCAAGTGCTAAATTAACTGACAAGGCTCCACGATCTCACTTTTGACAGCCACTGACGCCATCCTGTCTAGATCACTGAAGTCATCGATGGGACCAGCGCACCCATGGTCCAACTCCATCTACACACGGGTGGGAGCACCTCTGCGTCCTCCGCATTCCGTCGGGACCGACCATGCGTGCAAAGATCATGCCATTTAGGCATGGAGACCATACTAGTTACACCCGCATCCCACAGCCGTCCGAGCATGTCATCCCAGCTGCACGAGGAAGGAAACGCAAGGACTCCGGATCATCCGATTAGACCTGCCAGGCTAAACATACACCTAAAGCAACCGTGCTAAACCATGTGGACCATGGTGTTCGGCGAAGCTGGGCCGTCGTCGCGGGTGGTTAGCCCTCATTGGACAATCCGATACACTACCGGGCCAGTTGTCATTACTTTGTAGTTTTCTCCTATTGCACATCTGTGGCGACAATCTCCATATCGAACGAGCGCATCAGGTCTGACACTATAAGCTTGGCCCAACTGTATTATATCTATGGTTTCAATGACCGTCCTCTTCGAACATCCAAAACTGGATACCCTTATGGTTTTTGGTGAGGACTCTCCTGAATTGTCAACTGTTTGCTCAGCGCTCATCAATATTTTTTGGCGCTGAACCACTCATTGATACCGTTGCGATTACCATCATAGGTATGTGGTACGGGAGGGAGGAACTTCGAGTGTTTCTCAGGTAGATGTATGTATTGCTAAAATGCTAACGCTTGCAGCGCTCGGAAACCTTAGAGTTGAGGAGAATGGGATCTCAAGCAAGGGCTGTCGTTCTTCATTCGGAACTTCGTTTCCGCCTAGGAAAACCAATAAGAAAAATACTCGTTCATCACTTCGCAACTGCGGGTACCCTTACATGTTCACTGATCCTCTGTAATACTAGGCAGGCCCAGTACAAAAGGGATGATAGACGAGCCTTATTTGCTACCAGGACCCACCCTGCAGGTGTTGACGAAACATTTCTGGCACTGCGATTTCTCCAGGTCGTCTGGTGAAGTGCAGTTGCCGAAAACGACGACACCATGCGATGGGTACTCGCATCGGCTCACTGAATCTTTTGGTTGATAAGTGGCCTTTATCTGTCTCCTGGCGACCCCTTGTAGATGCTGTGTTTTCACGCTGGTGTATTTGTCCGCCATCCCGTAACGATTTTTCTAGACCTCTTTCACCGCGAGTGACTGGTAAGTTCATCCTAATTTCCTCTCATCAGGATCAGGGACGGCTCCTCTTCCACTTCCCCCGTTTCTTTCGTCACGCGTGCCTGCACGTCTTCCATTGTCCTTCAACGGCAGAATTCACGCCACAGATTTCCGTCTCACATGTGTAGTCGAGGGAGTGGCACCCATACAACCTCCGTACGCCCAAGTTTATCGACTTGCTCGAACTTTCCAACTTTCGCCCATCGATAAACCTCTCGGCCCTGCCTCGAAGAGAAAAAAGGGTCAGAAAACCAAAATGGTTCAGGCAAAAAGGCAGTTGGAGACTTCCCTCTGCGGCCTAGGTGCGCCCACTCGGAGTTGGCAATTTCATGTCGATCGAATTCGTGCCAGATATAATTCTGGGGGACATGCAGCTGCCAGCTTCGATGTGCGTTATGTCTGACACGAGGTCGTCAAGTGCCCGTTGAATTTCATTCATAGGCATCGATAAACCGTACTCCTGGTACCGCAAATACCTATTGCGTTAGTCCTTTCCTTTTGTTTTTGTATGCGCAAACAAAAGCGGGAACTGGAAGGACAAGGAGGAATGCCGACACGATCTCTCTCGTATCCGCCATACTCCAAAATCAGGGCACGTGTGCACCTTGTCCTACGTATAAAAGGGGACGTGTAAAGCGAGCGATGGAAGGCATAGACTCATCGTACCGTATCTCAGGTGCGTGCATGAATTTCCCCACTATGCAGACACGTCTGACAGACACTCTAGCTGTAAAACTATAACATGTCCGACTCACAAGACTCACCTGCTCTCGCATTACCGCCCTTCGATCATGTGAAGGCAGACGTGATCCTGCGCTCATCTGACGGCGTAGACTTCCGCGTATTCAGGCTCTTCCTTTCCCTCGCATCACCCTTCTTCGAGACGCTCTTTGATCTTCCCCAACCATCTGAGGAGACTGACACCGACATGGAGATCAAAGACGGACTCCCTGTTATTCCTGTCTCAGAGGACAGCAAAACGCTAGATTCACTCCTCCGCTTCTGCTACCCCTGCACCCTGGCAGAGGATCCTGTGCTCGAGGATTTCAGAGAGATCATTGACGTTCTCGACGCAGCGAAAAAATACTCCCTTGATGCCATCCAGCAGGCGGTGCGCAAATCTCTTTTCATTCCAAAAATATTGGAAACGAATTCGCTGCGTTGCTTCGCGATTGCGTGCCGCACCCGCATGCAGGACGAGTGCGAGCTTGCTGCTAAATACACTCTCCAGGAGCCATTGATTCCGGGGTGGTTCGAGGAGATCGAACTAATTACTTCTGCGGAACTCCTTTCGTTGTTGACATACCATCAAAAGTGCAGCAGCGCCGTCCTGGCTCTTAAAGATGTCCTTTATTGGATCCCAAATGAACTTAAACAAGGTTATGGCGGCTCCTGCGGATGCACACCCTATGGAGGTCGGCCGGGCCTTGGCGATTGGTGGCAGGTGTTCATAGATTCCACTTTCCTGGATTTGCGGGACAAGCCCTGTGCAGAACCGATCCGGTCAAATATCGAAAAGACAATACAGACTATTCGGCAGCGCGGCTGTGACAAGTGTCGCGAAGTAGCACCAGGCCGCCTGCGAGAAGTCAACATCATCTTTACGAACAAAGTCGAAGAGGTGACGTCAAAGGTAAACTTTTCCCACTTCACGATACTCAAGACGTCATTCAGCTCGCTGACTATATGGTAGGTTGAGCTGGACATGAAGTTTTGACGTCCGAGGTAGCCGTATGCAATGGACCGAGACACATATGTTCAGGTTCCCTCATATATGCGCTTGGTCACTGGCAGGTAAAAAAGAAAATAATCATAAGAGAAATTATGTTCTCGGCTTACCTCGTAGCATTTTTGTAGTTGATAAACGTGTAAGATTAGTAGTGCGCTTGTTCTGAGTGAATGTGGATCTGTCTTGAAGCTTCAAGACGCGGCAAATATTATGTAATTTCTAACTACTGCGTTCTGAGAGGTGAGTACATATCGTCAACCCTCGGACAAGCGAAAGTCGACGTTCCTTGGTAAGTTTTTTTTTTTTTTTTTTTTTTTTTTTTTTTCTTTCCGTCGGAGCTGCTGTTAGAGGTATCTAACTGCTTTTTCTGTTGTTGCGGCAACTGGTTTGGCTCAGCCTGAACTGGTGTCGTTCTCGACGAGGTCGAGCGCGTCACGGTTCATCTGAGACGCATACTAAGAGCCAACTAAGCAAACGCGAAGTGTCGATTATAAACCGATGTGATAACTGATATTGCCAGACGCTATCCTGGGTAATCGCATACAAGAACCATCCTTAAGGTTTCTGTGCCGCCCCGAAGTTCCATTTACTCGTGTACCCATGGTAACTTGTTACCTGACAGTACATGCAAAGACTAGCAAGTATGTCATCATCTGTGGTTGTGTACTTCTGGATGCCTTATTGTGCTCTTCTGAGTCTTTTCAACATCCGCAACTCTATCCGCTTGTGTGAAGCGAGCTACAAATTCTTTCGCTGAGACTTCCAGCGCTCGGAATCCAGGGCTAAGAAAAATGGGATCTCGGAAACTAACCGTCTTTTTTTGTTTGTCATTCTTGGGAAGCTATTAAGAGAGAGTCGCGTTCATTATTTCACAACTGTGTGGGGCGCTTCATGTTCTCTGATTCCGCCGCCCGGGATTGATCACCTACAGTACTAGACAGACCCAAGAAAAAGGGAGTAAGATTCACCCTGAAGGCGGCAAAACCTTTCTCGCCGCACTGAATTGGAGGAACTCCCTCCTCCAGCAGGTTTCGCAACGAGCCCCTAATGATGGCACTGCAATTCTCAGAATCCTTCTCGGTGCAAGGTGCGAGCGTTTACGTCTCCCGGCGATCATCGCAGATTTTGGGGTCTCACCCTTGTCCACTATATATATGTCCCCCCGGGTTTTCTAGATTTGCTCCATCGTGCGTGACCAGTGACGACGCCCTGGTCTCCTCTTGTCAGAATCACAACTGGCTCGTGTTCCACCTCCCGTTTCTCGCGGGCGCATGTATCCTATTGCCGTGCAACCGCAGAATTCACTCCACAAATTTCTGCCTCACATGTGTCGGCGGGGGAGCGGCACACATACAACCCCCGTATGTCCAAGTTTATCGACCTGCTCGAATGTTCTGACTTTCACCCATTCGAGCGCAGCAGTGGATCTTCGCCCATCGATAAACCTCCTGGCCCTGCCTCGAAGAGAAAAAAGGGTCACAAAACCAGGATGCTTCAGGCAAAAAGGCAGTAGGAGCATTCCTTCTGCGGTCCGGTGGGCCCATTTCAGAGCTGGCAATTTCATACCGATGAAATCCGTGCCAGATATAATTCCGGGGGACATGCAGCTACCAGCCTTGATGTGCGTTATGTCTAACACGAGGTCGTCAAGTGCCAGTTGAATTTCATTCATAGGCATCGATAAACCGTACTCCTGGTGCCGCAAATACCTATCGCGCTAGTCTTTTCCTTTTATCTTTGTATGCGCACACGAAAGTGGGAATCGCAACGAGGAGTGTCGATATGATCTGCCTCGCATTGGTCATACCCCAAAATAAGGGCATAGGCACTCCTTGTTCCACCTATAAAAGCGGCGTGTAACGCGAACGACGAAAGGCGTCGAGCCTTCATACTACATCTCAGGTGCGCGCGTATATATCCCGCTATCCAGACAAGTCTGACAGAATGGAAGATTTGAGTCAGCTGCGAAGTTATAACATGTCCCACTCACCTGATCGCGCATCATCGCCCTTTGATCATATGAAGGCAGATGTGATCTTGCGCTCATCCGACGGCGTAGACCTCCGCGTGTTCAAGCTCTTCCTCTCCCTCGCACCACCCTTCTTCGAGACTCTCTTTGATCTTCCCCAACCATCTGAGGGGACTAACACCGACATGGAAATCAGAGACGGACTCCCTGTCATTCCTGTCTCAGAGGACAGAAAGACATTAGATTCACTCCTCCGCTTCTGTTATCCCTGCATTTTAGCAGAGGATCCTGTGCTCGAGGATTTCAGAGGCATCATCAACGTTCTCGACGCAGCGAAAAAGTATTCTCTTGATGCGATCCAGCAGACAGTGTGCAAATCTCTATTCACTCCAAAAATATTGGAAATGAACTCGCTCCGCTGCTTCGCGATCGCCTGTCGCACCCGCATGCAGGACAAGTGCGAGCTTGCTGCTAAATACACTCTCCGGGAGCATTGATTCCGGGGTGTTTCGAGGAGATTGAGCTAATTACTTCTGCGGAACTCCTTTCGTTATTGACATATCATCAAAAGTGCAGCAGCGCCGCCTATGCCCTTAAGGGTAATCTTTCGTGGGTCCCAGCCGGACTTAAACCGAGTAACCCCTGTCAATGCTCGAGCAGAATGGCATGGGGGACTTTAAGATCCCCTGCATGGTGGAAGGGTTTCATAGACACCACTTTTCTGGATTTGGTGGACAAGCCCTGCGCAGGAACGGTCCAATTAAACGTTGAAAATGCAATACAAACTATTCGACAAGGCGACTGTGCAAACTGTCGCGAAGTAGCACCAGGCTACTTGCGAGAAATCAACATCGTCTTTGCGATGAAACTTGAGGAGGTGACCTCAAAGGTGAGCTTTTCCGGCTACAATGTCCGAAGATGTCATTCCGCTTGCTAACTTTATGGTAGATTAAGTTGGGCTTGAAGTTTTGACGTCTCAGATACATTCAAGTTCCCTCATACGCGTGCTTTGTCATGTAAAATGCAATTCTGCTCTCGTCGTTACCTCGTGGGCTTATCATTGACATGTTGGCTGACAAACGTGTAAGATAGTACGCTGGTGTTCTGTAAACGTGAATTTGTGCTTTAAAATTTTTCGCAGTACGGTTGACCTGGCGTGGAATGTCCGAGGCCGATGAAGGTGTCAAGGACCGAGGACCGAGGACCGAAAGCGCCCGTCGCGCTGGTTGCAAATCTGGATACCTTCCTCTTGAGATTATCGACACCTCTAGACCGACTTGGCGAATGACGAGGACAATATTAATATTGATCTGGTTCAATCATACCGTGTTCGTCGCGCTAGCCTGTCAGTATCTGTGATCATCAAATTCCGCCTACTTTGGCTACGTAAGAAAGAACCCGATCTGCGATCGTTGCCTCCGGATGTCTCTTAGTGAATATCTGCTACGGTCAAGCCAACTAGGTCTGATTATTGAACATGACATTGGACCATTGGCACACCTATGCATGCATACATGCCGGAGCTCGCGGCTGCGACGGCACTGCATGAAGCTCAAACCTGGTCCCCGATTGGGGTGATTCATATCACCAGTGGCGTCATCAGTCGGTGCTCCTTGTTATAACTTCATCAGAAGATTAAGTGTCCAAGGGTACCTGTCCGAACAAACTCTTGTTTTGCAATGCATCTCACTTACTACATGAGCAGTGCTCCGGAGTTGATGTTATTCCATCCATGAGTCTTGTCACGGCAGCCGTCTGTGGTGCGTCGGAACGAGGTTTATAAATCGTCGACTTAACGTACAGAGGCTGAAGAAAGATAGAGTATCGTACCCAACACAACAAAGGGACACACCTGAAGAAAGCTAGAAGGTCGAAACTGGGGGAGTAAGTAAGAACATGACAGTAACATGACAGCCCGGGACTAGGCGTGTTCCATCACAAGTCCATAGAGCAAGGGCGGATGTTTAGCCACTGGAAGAAGACTCAACGGAAAACAAAGTCGTTCCCTCTCGACTATGCAGACTCTATGTATGATTATATAAGCATCCCGATCAGGATCTCCTGTTCCACTGCACGGGTGCTCCCCGTATGTCGGCAGCGGAGTCTCCGTACTCTCAAAGAAATGGATCCTCGTCTATCGATAAACCTGTGCCGTACCCCGATGGGAGAGGAGGTTACAAAATTGACATCTGTCGGGGCAGAAAGGCTGTCGGATAAAGCATCTTCATCTTCCTGTATGGTTGGTTACAGAGTATCAATCTGATGGAATCCGCAGCAGATATAATTCCAAGGTGCGTGCATTAGGATCTAGCCTTGACCGTGTGTTATGTCCTACGCGAGGCCTTCACATACCAACTGATTTTCATCCATAGTCATCCATGAATCGCACTCCTGGTTCCGCGAATACAAATTGTTCGTCCGTCGCTTTCCCGTTTGGATGTGCAATGATGAAAACCGGAATCGAAGGAAGCGGAGAATACGGTATCATCGTCTTTCCCGCTCTGGCCATGCCTCAGAATCGGGCATGCGTACACGTTGGTCTACCTATAAAAGTGACATCTACAGCGAGTGATGAAAGTTGTCGAGCTTTCGCACAGTATCTCCGGTACGTGGAAGAATTCCCCTATTACCTAAACCAGTCTGACAGGATGAAACGTTCTAGCTGTGGGACTATAACATGTCTGATTCACAAGACTTGCCCACTTTCGCACTGCCGCCCTTTGATCATGTGAAGGCAGATGTGATCCTACGCTCGTCTGATGGCATGGACTTCCTTGTTTTCAAGCTCTTCCTCTCTCTTGCATCGCCGTTCTTCGAGACTCTCTTCGATCTTCCCCAGCCATCCGAGGAGACCAGCACAGATGTGGTGATCAGAGATGGACTACCTGTCATCCCCGTCTCGGAGGATGGCAGGACCCTGGACTCACTCCTTCGCTTCTGTTATCCCTGCACTTTAGCAGAGGACCCTAAGCTCGAGGACTTCAGAGAGGTCGTTGACGTTCTCGAGGCAGTCAAAAAGTACTCTCTTGATGGAATCGAGCGGACGGTGTGCAAGTCTCTATTCAACCCACAGATTTTGGAGGTGAACTCGCTGCGCTGTTTCGCGATCGCCTGCCACTCCCGCATGCAAGATGAGTGCGTCCTTGCTGCTAAGTACACCCTTCGAGAGCCTCTGGTTCCGGGGTGGTTCCAGGAGATCGAGCTGATTACTTCCACGGAACTCCTTTCGTTATTGACATACCATCGAAAGTGCAGTAACGCACTCCTGACGCTTAAGGACGACCTCACTTGGATCACAAACGAATATCATCAGTGGAACGCGATCCCATGGGTAATTGCTAGGGTTTCCGGTGGCAGCTACTGCGGCTGCCCTCGATCATCGTTAGAGAGAAATCTATTTGGAGATCGATATTCGACTGCCCAATGGTGGGAGGACTTCATGGACTCGACTTTTCTGGATTTGCGAGATAAGCCTTGTGCGGAGACAATTAAGTCAAATGTCAAAAAGGCAATACATGCTGTTCGACAGCGTAACTGCAGGCATTGTGCCCCCGTGGTGCCAGCAGGCATGCGAGATTTGGGCACCGTGCTTACGAACAAACTTGAAGAGCTGACTTCAAAGGTGAGCATTTCTGCAACGAAACCCACGGATGTCATTTAACCTGTCAACTATCCACTAGGTCGAACTGGACCTGAAGTTCTGATCTCTGAGATACGTTTTTGTCTGCTGTCAAAGGTTCCTAGTCTGCTAGCTGCAGAGAGTTAGCATATTCTCGTCCTTACCTTACGGGACCAAACATGTCAATCGATAAGCGTGTAGGATAGTCTGCCTGTACCTGTGAATATGCAACTTCGTCCGTACTATTCAGACCCAAATTAATTGGGCAAGCATACAGGCTTGTACCCTGCTCAGAATAGGTGTCAGTAGTGAGGTCGTACCCATTCACAGACAGTTCGCCAATTCGTAAGGTTGATGAGGACGTAGAGAAAGAGAAAGCTAGTCATCGACTTGTTGAATTCGTCGTCTCCTATTCCTCTGCCATGGCCACTCTCCGGATGAGTCAGGCATGGGCGATAGCGTCACCGCAGGTAACTCCCACTCCATGTACTCTCCTGACTAGATCTCTTCGTCACTCACATCCCTACGGGTTACCGCACAACTATAGTGAGTATTTTAGAATCTCGCATGCGAGATGGTGCATGCGATGGTCCAGTATGCTGCACAGCAGCGGGGAACGGGGGTCGCTGTAACTTGTGACCGACGGTAAACCTCTACTGCACATGGGAGGTATTTGCTCATCAATGAGGGCAATTCGGAGGTATGTGACCGGGTTTCCTTTTCGTCATGAAGAATACATGCGGTAGCTTCAATAAGGACCGCACGTAGACCCCTCTCCGTTGCTTTCCCATGTGGCAGTGAGTTCATTTCACATAACCTTCTCATCAGGATCAAAACGTTCTTCGCGCCGTTCCTCTCGGATGCGCATGACCATGGTAACACCAGAACTCGCGCCGCAAGTCTTTTTTGTACATACATACGTCAGCGGGAGGCCATCGGCATTCCTACGCCCTCTATCTGACCGGACTTATTGATTTGCTCAGTGTCAGGTTTTTTTGCCCCATGTGAGTGCAGAAATGGATCGTCGTCCATCAAGATCCCCCCTGGTCCTGGCCCCAAAGGGAAAAGGTGGTCACAAGTCGAGATTCTGGGGATAAAGGCTAGCCGTGGTGAGTCCATTTCAAAGTTTTTATTTCATTTCGAAGGCACCCGTGCCGGATATCGTTCACCCTGGTATATTCGGCAAGCTGCATATTGAAATTTTACCTGCAGACATCGATGAACCGTACATCTGGTATATGCACCAATTTTACACATCTAGTAGTCCTTTCTTCTGTACGTGCACCCGCAAAAAGAGGAACCGGAAGGGTGAAGGGAATGATGGAAAGGTCTGCTTCGCTCCGACGAACACCTCAAAATCGAAGCACCTGTGCACCTTGGTTGATCTATAAAGGCCTCTAATGTGACTGACGAAGGTAGTCTGGTTTTCGCACCACACTTCAGGTTCGTGTTTGTTTCACTCGTTACCCAGATGAATCTAGTCTGACAAAATGCTCTAGCTGTTGTAACATAGCATGTCCAACTCACCCGGCACACCTATGTCTGCATCACCGCCCTTCGACCACGTGAAGGCAGATGCGATCTTGCGCTCATCTGACGGCGTTGACTTCCGCGTCTTCAAACTTTTCCTTGCCCTTGCATCACCGGCCTTCGAGTCCCTCTTCAACCATTTCCAACCGTCTGGGGAAACCAGCATCGCCGCAGAGATCAGCGACGGACTCCCAGTCATCTGCGTCTCAGAAGACAGTAGGACGCTAGACTTACTCCTCCGTTTCTGCTATCCTTGTACTCTAGCAGAGGACCCTTCTCTCAAGGATTTCGGGGAGGTCATTAGTGTTCTCGAGGCGGCCAAAAGGTATTCTCTTGATGCGATAAACCGGACCGTGCGCAAATCGCTGTTCAGCCCAAAAATATTAGAGGTGAATTCATTGGATTGCTTCGCAATCTCCTGTCACTATCGCATGCCAGAGGAGTGTATTCTTGCTGCTAAATACACCCTCAGGGAACCTCTGGTTCCGGGATGGTTCGAGGAGATCAGGCTGGTCACTTCAACCGAACTTCTTTCGTTACTATCGTACCATCAAAAATGTGGCAAGGTCGTTCAAACGCTCAAGCGTAATCTGTCCTGGATCACGGTAGAATATTGCCAGTCGAGCGCGGTCCCATGGATGGTTGCTATGGCTCCCAGTGGCTACTCTTGCGGATGTCCCCAGTCAACGTCCGGGAAAAAGCTATTTGAAGAGCCAATTGCTCGATGGTGGGAGGACTACATGAATTCTACTTTTTTGGATCTGCAGAACAAGCCTTGTGCTGAAACGATCCGGTCAAACACTGAGAAGGCAATAAAAGCTGTCTTGCAACGCAACTGCCCGTATTGTTGCCCCGTGGCACCGGGAGGCATGCGAGAGTTCGCTATTCTCTTGACAAAGAAAGTCGAAGATATAATCTCAAAGGTGAGCTTCGTCTACTAACAAAAATCAAAGGTGTCCGTCAACTTAATTTAAATTATGGGGCAGGTGGCGCTTGATCTAGCGTTTCTGAGAGACAGACGGTTGCCGCTGGGTGTGGCTGGTGCTTTAGGAGGTGGTAGTGGCAGAGGTGGTGGTGGAGGTGATAGCGGTGGAGGTAGTAGTGGCGGAGGTAGCGGTGGTGGTGGTGGTGGTGATGTACGTTTTAGAGGTAGAGATGGAGGGAAAAAGATAAAGAAAAAAAGGTAGCTGATAGCTGATCGCCTTGTTCTTGTCATTTATCTTACAGTACCACAACCCCTTCCCAGTAAAATCTAGGAAAGAATCATCAAATTCGGTCGTACGATCACAAAATTCACCTACGCCTGAGATCGTGCGTTCGGGCGCAAGGAATTACCAGAGGCCAACTCGTGGCTAAGTTCAAGTTATATTCACACACGATCGCTCGGCGAGCACTATAGCCTAGAGTCCGTCCAGGGATTCATTACTAGCATCAATACGAAAAAAAAGGTATAGGCAATGCAGCCGTTATATCGAGACGACACTTCACACCTGCAACAACAGAGCACCGACAGCTGCCATTACTGCAGTGCCGATGATCGTCATTGGGATTGCATCGATGTTCAATGCTGGGATACTTCCGCTGGTCTTACTCTTGCTAGCAGACGTTCCACCTGAGCCGCTTGGAACTGAGGAGTCGCCGCTCGTGCTGTTTGAGTAGGGGAAGCTGGTGTTCTGGTTAGTCTCACGGTACAGGTTCGTAGTCGGGATGTTATTGCAGTAACCAATAGAGTCCATCTCAAAAGAAGAATAAGCGACAGCGGGTTGAAAGAGGACCTGAACCTACCGTTAGGTGAGGAGTGAAGTTCAAGGCTGCGGGGAGGGTATAGCCGATAGCAAGGTCAACCGTTTGAGGGTACAGATCATGCTCCAGGACAATAAAACTAGACGAAGTTTGTGACATGCTTTGAGATAGACAGACAAACTTACCCAGTGTCGAGGAGAGTTGCATTATTTAGGATAGCCTGGAATGTGGCAAAGGATTGCGAGCCATTCACAACGCCACCAGCAACTTTCCAATCTGTAGGACATTTCAGGGATGTACTTGCATGATGACAGCCGAGTTATTTTACCATTGGTATCAAACGTCGCACCAGATGGAGTTCGAGTCCAGATGACGGGAATCATACCCATAGCGAGACATATAGCACGGACACGATCGTCGATGTCTCCGTAAGGAGGGCGCATCAGGGTTGGAGTTACACCAAGGACCTCCTTGATAGCTTTACGTGTCCAACCCAATTCAGCGACAACTTGCTCGGTAGTAAGCATAGTGAGCGGCTAAGAATTGTACGCATGAGTAACGGAGGGATGAAATGAAAAAGATTGAAACCAACTCTATGCGACCAAGTATGCACAGCAATCTCGTGGCCAGTCATGTACTCCTCAACAAGCACTTGAGGGCGCTCTACAACACGCGAACCGACCACGAAGAAAGTAGAAGTAACGTTAATTGAAGATAGATAATCAAGTAGTTGTCTGCAATCTGGTTAGTAACGAATACGGAACCATGAGAACGTCCTGCATACTGAGCTGCAGGGAAAAATGATGAGTGAACGGGTTCTGCAGATCAGAACGAAATTAACTTACTGTAAAATGCTGGACCGTCGTCAAAACTGTGGAACGGACGGCTCAGGAATCGAACAAACATAAATGACATGACTGGACATACCTAACACCCCAGGTTAATTTGTCGGGGCAAGCTACAATATCAGTATCACGGGTATAACCACCGCAAGTCCACCAGCCACGGCTGGCGGCATCCGCAGCTGCAGCGGGGTCCCCGACGCAAGTACCGTCCGCGGTGGGAGGAATATCCGGGATATCGAAGCCATCAAGTTCCTGCATCCATTCCGCCACCTCAGTTGAATCTGTTTATAAAGGTAGAATAAGTAGCAGTTTCACGTTCACTGTACAGAGTACCAACCAGTGGGGGCAATCTGGTCTTGAGGTGGCCAGCTAGCGGCCTGGAAGACGACTGTGGTAAGTGAGCACGTGAAATGTGTGAACGGTCGTCAAGTAACCTACAGGGTGTCGGCAAGGCAGGTGCGCCCGAGATCGGGGGCGTCGCACCGGCAGGGTATGTAGCTGTGAGCGGTAGAGTCGGCTGTGAAGGCATGCCCGACGTGATCTGGCTCAATGGGGGAATGGTAGTTCCCCAAGTGTTAGTCTGAGGGCCCGTCGCGGACGCGCCAGTCGTGGTGGTAGCTGTCGTGGTAGCAGCGGATGTGGCGGCAGAACCAGAAGAGATTGTCAACGAGGACGTCCCAGTACTTGCTGTCATTGAGGGTGTCGTGGTATCCCTGGGGTAGATGTATTTCCTTGCGAGACGGGCATGGTGTTCAGTTGCGCTGGCGGCACTGACGAACGTTAAGAGAGCGATAAGTTGATGTAGGCGCATCTTCATTGCGACAATGTCCGACCGGACGGAAAACGAGTGACGGATTAGACCGCTGCAGGGGGGGATAAGAGAAGGGAACAGGGAAAAATCGAAACACAAAAGAACGAGCGACACAACGGCAACAAGAAGTTTTCCGACCTTGACTTGGCCTTGACAGCGTCGCTTGGTCCAACCACAGGACCTGCCTTATATGGTAAACGCCAAGAAAATGATTATATAAGGCGCGCCCTTGGCACAGGCCCTAAATACGCTTGTTCGCTTTTTTGTGGCACTCAGCTCCCACGAGGACAAGCAGTCTGATGGCTCCAAGTCTCCACTACAGGGCGGCGCAGTCGAGCCTTCGAGGAGAGTATCCGTGATGAACTCGTGGATTGCAAGGGGCGGGTGCGAGATAGTAGTGTGGGTCCGTGGGTCTGGGAGTAACAGCTACCCTTCCTTGCACTTCACAATACTAACTATGTTCGTTTATAGACCCAGCTATCTATCTAAACGGCCTTCATGCTTGTCGTCGTTTGAGCGACTAGGCTAAGCGTCATTTCTGACTACGAGATTGAAATCAGAAGCCGAAGATGACTGCGACTCTCACCTGAATCACCTGCCGCACGGCATCGTTCCCGTCATGCACTCCAACGCGGGAACCAACACGAGGAATTTCATCACCAGCTCCACCAGAGCTGCGGATCGCCTGTTTGTTTGGTAAGGAATGGCTTGGAACGGCAGGTGGGTTCGTTTAATCCCCGATGTACGCGAAACGCAGCACATTCTTTGGGTGGGTGGCTACAAGTTCGTTCTTTCTGAATACGACGACTGCACAGTAAGTATGGGTTCATTGAGTTCACGGTGTCTGACGAAACTTGGCATCAGGTTCACAGGTGCAACTATAAGCTCTGGAGGAAATTACAATAGCTTTAGAATACACTAGGTGAACGTCTCAACATTTGCCACCTATTACAGCCTGTCATAGCCTCGTGGTCAGCAATAGCCAGATGAAATCTGTCCGCGTGCAATCACTGTATCGGGAAAGACTTTCAAAGAACGTACTTAACGCTTGCCGATTGACTCCACTGGTACGCCTTCGTTTTCATTACATTCATGACGAAAGCGATGGAACGGAAACATTTCTGCTTAAGAACAATGGGATTATGTGCCTGCAGCAAACCCTTGAAACAGTCAACATAGCTGTAAGCGCACTTGGCCTGAGTCGCTCGGCTCGCACAGCAAGGGCTAGGGCCAGTGTTGTCTTTGAAGCTGGACCAAGGTATATTCATCCGTTCACGCTGTCTGACAGTCTCGGATTGCTGGGCGTTCGGCCGTGCCTGGCATTGTGGTGGAGGTACAACGTTTAGAGGAAAATGACTGATACAAGCAGTTCTCGATCGCGGGTCGTGCTCGTTCAAATAGTACCCCATCAGTTCAGAATAGTGACGACCATTTGACCAGCTTTGTTCAGCATTCCTAACCACTAGAAACTCTCCTCTCAGCGGTCGCCAATGACTAACTATACTGTTTCCTAGTCAGTCGTGACGGAGCAGGGATAGAGTGAGTGTGAATCTTCTCAAGGAACATGTGGTTATCCTCGAGATTGCCGTACCTTGTGGTTAGGTATAGGCCACCTACTTATGCTGTTCTGACAAGGTGAGTGAAAGCCTCGACGACCACACGGGAAGTATTTCCCTGCATTTTCATTTAGTATGTCATATCAATAACACTGACCATCTATTTTCTGGATTGGGGCAGACTTGAGACAGGAGTTCGTCAAGATTGCTTGTATTACATTCAATGAACCTGTATGGTGTAATAGTGTCTTCCCTCACCTCGTTTCCCGCCCTGTTTCTTCGTCGGATCACAGTGAATGACTTTCGCGTCAATCCCTCACGCACCAGGTATATGTGAAATACATGGTTGATGGCACACTACTGCTTGCAGTGCGCTAGCAGCCTGGGAGTCTCGGCCGTCTGCACGGTCCAAATGTTCTGGTAACCAACGCAGCAGCGAGGACGTGCCGCCGAGGAGAAACACACCCTTCGAAGAGCGGAGTATACGAAATGGAACGTCCTTGGTCAGGTTCTGCCAACTACTTAGATCTGGGCGAGCCTCATAACCACTCGGTAATTTGACAACTCGATTGAGTCATCGATGACCTTTTTTTGGACTTAGCTAACTCTTGATGCAGAGAAAATGGCCAACAACCCAAAAGGGAGCAGTGCTGAAGATCCTCTCTTCGGTGCCGTGCACAGTATATATGCTCTTTATTATCTAGACTCAGGTGAGGGAGCGTCCTTGCAATGGCAAGCCCCTTCAGCAAGTTCCCATGCAGCCTCGAGGTCAATATAGGTCAACTTGTGTCATGCCCTGCCTCATAATCTGAGCCAGTCGTGAGGGGCAACGAACTCCCAGAAGCACACAGGCCAAGATGCGCTACAAACCTCATACACAGCAAGGTCTTGGATCGGCGATCCGGGCAGTGCTCGTTGATCATCAATGGATGTATCGCGGACTCCTAAGTTCCATATCGTTTCCTGCTTGATGAAACCTGATGAAACGCGTCCTTAAAAGGTCGACGCTGATTCTTTCATGCTTTGCTGTTCCTGCATAGGTCAGGCATCATGTACTATAGCATGAACACTTGATCCTTGGGACGCGTGCCCGGTTATTTCTGGGCACTACAAGAACAGATGCTCATCTTACTGATTCTATAAAGGCAGATGGCTTAGGATATGTCCAGGAGCTTGCCTCGAATGCGCGGCGGCCACGCAGTACTTTCAACGCTCAGTGGACTATCGGAGGTCGTATGATGTTGTATCTGCTCGCAGTCGCGCTTTTTGGTGCTTCGTCCATTCATGCGCTCACCACACGCCAGACCATTGCTGTTCTGGATTCGTCCCAAGTCGACTCGTACACGCCTTACACTTATTACGCCAGCACTGGGTACTGCAGTGCTGCGCAGACGCTCGCCTGGGACTGTGGCAGTATGTCTCACTTACCTTCGATATCCTCTGCAGTCTAACACGTGTCTTGGCTTGCAGCCAACTGTGAGGCTAATCCTGGTTTTGTACCTGTTGCCTCTGGGGGAAACGGCGACGCTATTCAGTATTGTAAGCATCCAGTTTCGTTTTCACGTGCGAGAGAGTCCATGGGAATGCACCGTTAGGGTATGTCGGATATGATCCTCTGCTCAGCACTGTGATCGTCGCGCACCAAGGAACCGACCCTTCCGAGATGTATGTTCTCTCACACTCATACCATTTCATCTTGGCGTGACAATTCATTTCGATCGTGGAATGGTAGTTTGCCCCTCATCACTGACGCCGACTTCTTCCTTGCGAACCTTGATTCCTCGTTGTTCCCGGGGATTTCCTCTGACATCAAAGTCCACAACGGATTCAGCGACGCACAGGCGTTGTAGGTTCTCCGCCATCATCATCGCTGCTGCTTCAAACATCAACGATATATCATCATATTACAGGACTGCGACAGACGTTCTCGCGGCTGTGCAGACAACTTTGTCAAAGTATGGAACAACGTGCATCACTTTGGTCGGTCATTCCCTCGGTAAGTGATGGTCGAATGTTGCACTTCAGGATGGTTTTCATTGATGCTACGGCCTTATTTCCATTTCGTCAGGAGCGGCCATATCCCTTCTAGACTCTGTCTATCTTCCGCTTCACCTCCCCTCAGGCTTGACTTTCCAGACTATCACGTATGGTCTTCCTCGAGTAAGCCTCGCATTCACTCCTCTTGTCTCCCAAAACGCTTGGCTCAGGCATTGACAGGTCGGTAACCAAGCCTTTGCCGACTACGTGGATGCCAATCTCCATCTCATCCATATCAACAACAAGGAGGATCCAATCCCGATCTGTCCAGGAATGTCCCTCGGCTTTGTCCATCCTGCTGGAGAGATTCATATTGACGATTCTGGAGAGTGGGCTGCGTGTCCTGGACAGGACAATCTGAGCACTCAGTGCATTGTTGGCGACGTGCCAAATATCTTCGATGGTAACGAATCAGACCATGATGGCCCATATAACGCCGTCGAAATGGGTTGTTAGTGGTGCAGAGCGTGCGCCTTATCGAGGAAGGGCAACGAACGAGTAGACGGCAGGACGGCGGAGAGCGTGGTAAAAGGAAGGCAAGTATCTTGGAATCAGAAGGGATATTGTAGTGTAAGGTTTTCGGATTTATCTATCTATTGTAGTTGACCGGGTTAGTTCTGTGCGTCCTTCATGATGACACGCGTACATAATGGTTTACTATGACACCATAACATTATTGCACATAAAGGTAGATGTCAAACTCTGAGCCTTTGCAATTGACTCTGCCTATAGATCAGTCTACTAAGGTAGGGCGCTTGATCCCAAAACGGTGTTCTGTCACCCGTTGCCCACCTCGTGAACGCAGCATTTATATGTGGTCCTGTATTTTGGGCATTTCCCATGGTTCCCCATGCGACCGAACGATACAAGGTCTCTTGAGGCGGGCGACCATCCTTTTGACTCCCGCTGAACTTAGGTTCCGATCTCCGGCCCCATATCAGTGTCGTTCCTTCTTAACAAACGGGCAGGTGTGGTCTTCGATGTTGCTGTGCTTTCGGGTTTCAATTGTGTTTGATTTGGTGTGGAGAAGATGCTTGGTCCCAGACGAAGTCGACTACAGAACGAGTCAGCGCGTGAAGGAAACACAGGTGCGCAGAAGTCTGCAGAATTCTGGAACCTATCTTAGTTCAATCTTCCGCTGTGAATTTACACGAGCTCTGTCGATGAAAAACGGTCCAACGGAGGACTCGCCAACTGGATCATTTTGGGAAAGAGGTGCTGAAAGGGGACCCGGGGATCTTCAGTCTGTCCACATCATCCCATGTCTTTTGCATTTCGGCTTCCGAGTGCCGTTGCCCCACCTCGAGCCGCCTCACCAACCCCGGATCTTCTCGTGCCTTGGTATCTTCCTGCAGTTGTTTGGTTATTTCCTTTTGGCCGTGCCGGAGCTTCTGGAATTGCGTATAGGGGGCTTTACCGGCAGTTGTCTCGTTCAATTTCCTTCCTGCATCAACCAGCTGTTTCTGCACCAAATGCGCTTCTTCTCCTTCGAAGCCTGTGACAATCTCTTACGCGGATTTCGAGGATTCGTTGAATTGTTTCGTGACGAGCCCCACAGCCAATCAGCGGCTTCCGATGTTTGTTCCTAGATGCGACACTCCGCTCTCTACGAGATTCACATCTCTCGCCTTATCCCACAAGGTGGACATCAATCACACGCGCTCCGCAGCCCTGTCTCCACGCAACCTGGCAAACATATCGGGGTTCTTGCACATCGATCTCTACATCCGTTTATATGTTATGCCATGAGTGTAGATAATGACGGTCAGTTTGACCCCTTGGCGGCATCTGTTCTGGTCTTAATGAGTAATAAATCTGACAAACTCAGTGGCTCACTTCTCTAGCTGTTCCACGGTCGTACGCACGTGGTCCGATCGATAAGTGACATCGCATCCCGTAGGACCCATCAATCTGTGTTAGTCTAGTTTGACGACGAAGAAGATTCACGAAGAGGACCTACGCGATAACAAAGGGCTTGATGTGTGACACGATATCCCTGTGGGTAGGGCAGAGCTTGCAGGGTTCAAACCTCCGAGTATATGATACGTGCAGTGCACTTGGTCATGATGGCTTGAAGGCTGATGGCAATATCCACATGGCTCAGATAATCCTCATACAGGCCTAATTGATGTCAATGAATCTGTAAACTGCTCGGCGCATGATCGGCAGCTAAATGGCCCGAAGCCAGGACTTGAATGGGTTTGTGTTGGGAATCGATGTCCAAAAAGGTTGGAACAACCGGTCACCTATGACGCTACATGCAGCGTCATTGCCTGTGGACCGGTTTACATGGTTGGACGCCTGATCTCAACACTGTTCCCATGCGACAAAGCAATGGGAGGTCTCTTAAGGCAGTGATCGACCATCCGATTTGAGCTTTTCAACTTGTGCCAAACTGGCGGACGTGGCCCTCGATGTCGTCTGATCCGTCTGCTGCTTGCGCAGCGCTCTCGGGTTTCAGTTATATCGGTGCGGAGATGATTGGTTCCAAACGACTCACGAGATTAACCACAGAGCCGCATGTTCCAGCACGAGCAGGTACGACGACGCCATTGTCATGACCTACAGGCTTAGTTGAAGGCCGAAGCTGTCCCGTTGGAATGGTATACCTCCTTCACCTATGACCGGATGCCAAACAGTTGTGATTTAGATAACTGCTTACCCAGAGCTCACAACCAGAGTTGAATCAAACCTTGTATTACGAGTATTCTCAATTACAGACACCCTAAAATAAAAGGCAACGGAAACGAAAGTGCGAAGAAAGGAACGTAAGTTGAAAGGAACGTGATTTGGCGACGTTGGATGTTGGGTGTCTCGCGATGACTCCCATCACGGCAGCCAGGAGAACAAAAACTCTATACCAAGAAAGTTCAGAAAGAATGGTGCTTCTTCATGAACCTTCTCCCATGGGCAGATAACTTCGGCGAAGGCGGGTTATTGGGTACAGACTGGTTTAAAACAGGTGCATCGAGGACGGCGGCGGGCACACTTCTGCTCTTCGAACTAGTCTTGTTGATGTATGGTTGGCAAACGTTGTCATCGTAGTAAGAAGCGGGATTCTGAGTAAGTAAACCCATGCTCAGAGCCTCAAGATAAGACCTATATCGACGTCTATCACCAGGCCGAGGCAAAAGATTTGAGAATGCCACGTACCACTGGCGAGCCAGCTCGGTCCCATTTGTCAAGTCCGAGACCTCCGTCTTGAAGTTCCAATACTACGCCCAATGAATCATTCATTCTACACGGAATTCTGTCGTTAAAGTGCTTACTATCCATCCGGCGCTCTGGCTATAGGCCCATTTTTGAGCGTCACCCCATTGTTTCAAGAAGCTATCGGTTGCGACAAATTGGGTGGAAAGACCCCATTCTCCAAACCAGAGAGGTGAATCGCCAAGCGCAGCATCATCTGAATACGCTGAAGATCTGAGAGATCCGTAGTCAATATAGGTTTCGTTCCACTGTTCGAGGAGCTACTTACTGCAAATGCTTTGCATAGTACGCTGTGGGATCGGCAGCGGCCACACCCTATGCACGGCAAAGGAAAAGCTGAACACTCATCACAGATTCCATGATAATAAGGCTTACACCGAACCTAGTGGGCGGGAATGAGCCATTCGACACATGAGATATGTGATGTACACATACGAATAGTAGAGATGGTTGTCGTATCCCTGAGGGCCAATAGCGGCATTTGCCGGATTAGGCGGATTGTCGTACTGCCAGTTAACGTCCATGAAACTGTAGACGCGTGATACAACTTCCTAACAATAAAACTAATTTTGCTTACCTGGTAACCAATGGTGAACGGCGACTGTTGAAGGGTTCGGAGGTAAGAGTGCCGGAAAGCCCATACTGAGACCCAATGCCTATAAGGATCGGGATGGCATCTTGGAGCGCATCGACGACGTCCGCATCGAATAGAGACAAAGAACATGCCTGTTGGAGAGCCGCAGTGAAATTGGTAGTTGGAAGGGAACCCGGAAGATTTGGATTGTAAATGGGAACGCGGATACCAAGAAGGGTTTCAATTGCACGGATAGTCTTCACAAAGTTTTTCTGGACTACACCATAAATGCATCATCGTTGCAACTACAACACTCAACAAGTAAAGGAATACGCACAATCGCCATATCCGGGTGTTTGCGCAGCGTCCATTATAGGTTCATTAACCGCCTCAATTGCAAAGACATTTGAAAACTGGGGGTCGAGGTGCGATAAAGTTGTCATGACAGCTGTCCAGACCAATGCACGATGATAATTGTGCGGCGTCTGTGATTGAACGGATGAGTTATCAATTGCCAGTTCTCGGAGTGTGACAACAAACATAGAACTGGACGTCGTCTGTGCATCTAAAGATATTGAATGAGAAACACGACATTCGAATGGAGCCAGCGAGTCGGCACGTACCGTCCGGTAAACATCTGACCAGGAGTTTGCACTCCAGGAAGGGCGTGATGATCCAAGATAGCGTGCATTCCAGCATCCCTTATCCAACCCAAACCGCGGCGCTGGAGAGGAGGTAAGTCGGGAAGATCTTCACACATACATTCGCACTCCCCAAATATTCCAGACCACCACGAGGATAATTTTCTTCTGGTCTTTCAACGAGGGCTTCTACGATCCAATACCCAAGCTGGTCGAAACACGTCAGAACCTGCTGTATCTCGGATAAAAGATGTTTTACCGGGACACGCAGTGTATTGATCCCAGCATTCTTAAGGTCTTGAAGGTCGCTCTGTGTGAACCAATTATCCCAGTGGTCGGCAAATATCTCATCTACTGTGTCGGGGTATGCCATCGCGAAATCACTATTCAAATAAGAAACTAAAGAGGGACATGAAAAGAGCATGCGCACAATTCGCATTCGATACACTGTGTGCAGTCGGAGCAGATTTGCCCTCCCATATTTGTCCAAGCTATATATAAAAAATCAAGGAATCAGGTATCGTCACGATTATGGTCGAGAGACCTGTCACCTTGTGGAAGCATCCAAGGCTCGAGTACAAGCCTTCGCAACCATTCCACATTCAAAATCGCTTGAAAGCAGCAAGAACCACTTACCATGATCCAAGGTTAACGCCGTAAATCTTCTCAACTGGTAGTTGGGCGAATACTTGAGGAACGGCCGCGACCAAGAGCGGAAACCAAAGAAGTCCCCTCATTCTCGGATCCTAGCCAAAGAAACGACCGACAGGAAAAAGAATGACAGTGAGAAGGGACTCGGAAGAGAAGTGCTTGGAGAAACTGTTCTTTATGTAAGTGGTCATGTATGCGATCGGGGGCAATTTACCCGTGTGTATCCAGCGTCACGAAGGGTGCCGAAGTGTTACGGAGAAATTCTGCACATTGACAACAGTCAATACCTTGCGAGGAGCTCTGCAGTCGACTCGTCCTGTCCGGCACCCGGAACCTCCGTAGCCTGATCACTGTTAGCCATGTAACGAAAACCGCACGCTAGCCAGAGAAGTGGTCCCTTCGAGGGATCATGAAGTCCCGGACATCACGTCCGGCCGAATTGAAGCCAGACGGATGCACATATAGTTAGACCGCTTTCACAACCGGCAGGGAATAGCCGACAACATTGGTTATGCGTTTGGATATGCTTGCACACTTTCTCGTGCTCCTGTTTCTCGTGCTCGCTCTTTGGTTGTTCCAGCATCAACGTGGCTCCGGGCATGCTAAATGATCTTAGGGACTTAGGGACTGGAGCAAGCTTTTCCATAGTGTGGTAGATGCTGGTCTTCGGAACATCCCGAAGTGAAAAACGTCTGTACCCTACATCAGGAAGCGAAAAAATGGTTTAGACCTGTTTAAACCCGTCACTGACTGGTCGTGACCGCGATTCTGTCATTCCCCGTTTCTCTCGGTGTTTTCCTTGCTGGCCCCACCTGCTCATTCTTTCCCACGCCACCACTACAGTCTCCCAAGATGTCTATATCTGTCCTCCAATCACATCCTTCTCCTGATCCTCCGTTTTCAATATCACTACCGACGATCCCGCTAGCCCTAGCTATCCACAGGTCGTTAATATCACCTTGGGAACCGGTGATCACGACCCCAAGTCTTCCGGCGATGATGAGGATGACGTGAAAGTCTCCATCTCCACCACCCTTCAGGTGGCCGCCATACCGTTAGCATTCACCTTTATATCCAGGTAAGTACCGGATGCATATTTATATCCCGTGCCCTTGGTGTTTCAAACACTACTCAATTCCCGGATGCTGCCACATAGTGACTTGTCTCGTACGTACTTAAATCTGTCCATTGCTGAACACTTGATATTTTCAGAATGGGTAGGCATCGGTTGGCAGGATGCAGTGTATAATGTCTGAGTTGTCTGTATGCGTTTTCCCATTCTCAGCGTGCATCCTCAGTACTTTTCTTCGTCAAATAATGATTTCACGATGACATACTCTGATACGGTAGACTAGTTGTTCGTTGAGTACTGGGGTAGCTGGTTCACGCGGGGCATTCTCCAAGGCCTCGAGAGTGCTGTGATCAATACAATCCGTATTCCGGCATGATTCCTAGACATTGCTAACCCGGGCTTTATGAAGTGTTTCCATATTGGGTCTTAGAAGCCGTCAGAACGACCGGGAAAATAATTTCAAGGTAACCAACAGGAAGTATCTGGTGGATGCGGACATATGGAGGTTGTCCCGGTTTACCCCCTCTCCTCCACCGCAGTTTGGGGGATGCTGACCGACACTGGTATGTATTCATTACACTTTCATTCTCAGTTCTGACGGTCACCCTGCTGGCCCGCAGCGACCATGCATAGTATCCTACTTTCCGATCATGCGAATGTATACACTTCGGATTCTACAATAATGTATCAAAGGTCAGGTGAGTAGACCATCGCCATCCTTCGAACTTGCCAGCGAAAGCCCACTCACTGTTTCAACCAACGCGGAAGGGTCGATAGTGACCCACCTCCGTATCCTACATCTCACGATATATCACTTAGCTGTCTGGCAGTGATTATTCCGTTGGGTGCTTCAGCTGACGCCACTCGGGCTTTGTAGAAGTTGTTTCACCCACAGCTGACTTCTAGATTTCCAATCCGGGATAGACGACAGGGTGGGCATATAGATGCTTTCCAAGGAAGTAGTGAGATTGCCGCCCGTCGTACCTTGGCACGAGAAGACAGATAGGATGCCGGCCATGTTTTATCAAGTTTTCCAACGCTTGAAAGGCCGTCGATGAAACTACAAACTGCGTGGCGCATGCACGACACAGTAGACTGACCGGCAGTTAAATGGCCCGGAGCCAGGACGTGGTTGGGTTTGCGTCGAGAGCCGATATCCAAAAAGATTGGAACAACCTTGGTCGATGCATCGATCGTACCATTATCTCCAGGCAAGTCCGCAACAGGTAACTGCTTGTCCAGGAAAAGGGTAAGAGTACTGTACTGGCATGCTTCGTGATGCCTGGAGTCGTTACTTGAAGGTCACCCAGAAACGCAATATACGACCACACAGCTTCCACCCCGTCCGCAAAACCAGCGTGTCCATTAAGTGGCGCCCTATGGCAATAAAAAATATGTACACTCCACGTATCAAAAGTTAGAACTGTGCACCAATCACGGCGCGGGCGCTTTACGTATACAGACCAAGGACAAACGGAAAAGAAATAAAGCGGCTGCCGAGGTGACTGACTGACCACGTGTGGCAGGGAAGAGAAGGTTAAAAGGTAAGTGCGCGAAGAGGAAAGCAAGGGTAGCGAAGGGAAAGAAACGGTAGTGCCGCCCCCGGACACCCGAGATCACATCTCAAAAATGAAACAGACCCTTCTTCTTTTTCTTCTTCTCCTCCTTCTCCGGTCCATTTGTTCCATAACTATTCACAGAGGTCGAACTAGCAGCATATGGCGAGCTTGGTGAGTGTGCCTTACTCAATTTTCCACTCGTCTTCGTGTCTTTCGGGACGTGGAGTTCAGGGCGCCGCGGTGGTGCTGGGTCGGGGATAAAGTACTTCTGGTCGTAGTACTCTTGGTACGAATTATGTGGCTGGGACAAAGGTATGCCATTGGGAACTGCACGGGATCCTACGCCTGACAACTCGAGAACCTTGAGATCGTCGAAGAACTGACGGGGAGTGATAGTATGCGTCGACCCTAGCGACGCCTTTGAACACCTACCCCTCAACTGCGAAGAAGGCTCAAGACGTACCGATGTAGATGTCCTTGTTCAGCGATGCGCTGAGTGTGTATGCCTCTCGGACCTCTGAATATGTCATCCCGCCAGCGACGAATACGATCACACGCTGGCGATTATCGGCCGGTGCAGTTGGTCGTACAGCCTTATGCCAGCTCGGTTTTGCACTGCGCAAAGACGTGGTCGGTGTGGGGGATTGACGAACGCCATTTGCAGGTGTAACCGCCAACGGCGTATCCTTGACGTAAGGGAAAAGTGTCTGATCAAGTTTGTTGCCGACATGATCCTAAAAGCATCCCGCTTTAGTCATGCCATCTATGCCAACGGTCCGCACACACCTCGATCACGGTACGAATTAATGGTTTGTATCTTGAAAGTTCATATTCCTCAGCTGCATGCGGCTTCTGCTTCAATTTCTTCTTGGTGTCCTTATCCGTAGCACCCTACACGGAAGGGGCCATCAGCCTTGTCCAAGAAATAGAAATGAGATTACCTACCCTCGTGATTCGCACGCCGAGATGGACTAACGCATTCACTGCATCCTGCTCCACCATACTCAACCTCGCATGTTGGTACAGCCGTCGCCGATCTTCGTCCGGTACGCCATCGCGGTGCATGATGTACAGTGCGATGATGCGCACCTTGTTGAAGTTGCTTCGCAATAAGATAGTCTCAGCACATGTAAATACTCGAACGCATTGACGGAGATGCATTACCTGACATCCCGGCCGTCAAGTAGCGGCACCATCTCTTCGACAAGCGTCTTCGGGGTTTTCCCTTCAGCAGTGAGTCCTGTTGCACAGCACTATTCACGCCTCAGCGAACCCCAAAGACAAATGCACAACAGAACAACACACTTGCTCGACGTTAGCAACCAGTGGAAGTTTGTCTTTCTCGAATATTGTCATACAATCTTGCGCCATATTCAGATGCAATGAGAACTGTCATCAATCCTCTTTGGATACCTAAATCCCCGAGATTGAAAAGGGGTTCGCACCTTTTCCCGCTGCTCTTGGTACTGCGGCAAGCTCGCAAGCATGTCTTTCATATCATTCAGACTCGCAGCACCTCCGCTACGAACGATCAGTTAACCATCTGAGGTCACGTGTCAGTACGCCAGCGCAACACACCCTTTAAATCCAGCATGATCCTCCATGAATTTGTTAAAGTCTGCCATAAGCTTATCGATAGCTTCCCGCATATGCATATGCCGGACGGTCGTCCACACCGAATCCGCATCCGACAACGTCGCTACTTTATCTTCATATGTACCCACTGACGATTGAAATTTGTACCTGTGCAACGCTCGAGAGAGTACAGGAAACGAGTGAGAGAGACGCACGAGTACTTGGACCCATCTTGGATGGGGAGTAGGTCATTGCACATGGCTTGGTAAGTGAATTCGTGAATAAAGGGTGCGATGACATCCATGGCCCGATCGGTGATGATGAGAGTCCCACGGGGCCGAGGTGGATCCGAAGCACTCTAACAATACAACCCAAGAACCCAACGATATCAGTTTTCCCAAGAGACGAGACGCGAAAAAAGAGACATCACACAGGAAAATCAGGGTTCGCCTTCTTATGTTCCTCCAGACACTGCTGTACCATGGACGCCAATACTTTCGTGACGAACTCCGTGTCTGCAGTTTCGTACTGCCGCGCCGCTTCGCCTCTTGCCAGATTTGTCCTCCATCGACTGCTTCCCTCTGGTGGTGGCGGCGCCCTCGTTTGCTGATTTGGCTGAAGTGGACCCAGTGGGTGGTGATGACTCGGTAGATAGTACCGTATATACGGGAACTCGTTCAGTGTGATGCACAGATCTGCGATCTGCATATCGGAGTGAACCGGTTAGTACAACACGTCAGCACGCGCAACTCGAATGCAGGTTAGCATCACCCACACGCTTGCTTACGAACCGCAGTTCTTCCTCCAATCGTGACCGCGCCGTTCGAAATGAGGCTTCGTTCCTGGGCGGACTGTATATGTGGAAGAAAAGCTCAGGTGCGTTCATGGAGAAGGTCTGTGCTTCCGTCACTGCGGCCAGATATGACTTGATTAATACGAAAAGTTGGCAAGCCCTCCTTTGACGCGGAGACTTACCCCAGAAGTTGACAAACAATTCCTTGAGGGATTTCAGGTGCGGTTCGGCAGGGGAGGACGTCAGCCGTTGGAATAAAGGCTCTGCGAGACCTAGAACGAGACTCCTATCAACGACAATTTGATGATCTTCGATGAGTGGGAGGGTGCACACCATCTAAGAAAAAGAGATGCGCTCCGAGGTATTGTTGACGTCCGTTCGAGAAATCCTGAATGATTCTATCGACATTTTGGGTCGTGGGCATGAGCATGTAGACCGCTTCAAATTGTTGCGGCTCCCGGTGCGTTGATATTGACTCGATGACTGTTATCGTCGGTCCGTCCTGCGCTTACATCAAACCGAAGGAAAGATGTAGGCGCACTCACGGGTAACGTTCTCTTCTAAGATGTCAAACTGCTTCAGCACGGTGCTCAACAGCTTTTGGACATGTTCGTCGACGACGAGGATCTTCCATCTCCCCTCTGGATTGACGGATCGGATTTCTTGCAGGAATGCTGGGGGGTAAGACGTTGTTATTGTAGATAATTCGGTCTGTCTGTAGAAAGCGATACGCACTGGAGCGGACGGTGTTGATGAGCGACGCAGACATGTCCCTCTTTGACCTGGCGCGTCTGACTTATTAGTGCAAGCCTGTCGACTTGTCGGAGATCTCCGCATCACTCGTTTGGCTAATGATAAGATCCAGCTAATAGGAGTGCCAGTATTAGCAAGACCGATTGTAAAGTTCTCCTCACTCCAGCATATGTATCATCAAGAGGTCGACCCAAGAGCGTCTATCATACTCAATATCGTTGACGAATTGGAATGGGAAGAGCTAAGGATCTGCTTTCAATAGTGTAGTTGTGGTCTTCGAGAATGTCGGAGATCATTCTTTGTTCTTGCAAAATGTGAGATCACCTACGTCCACTGGGAAGTGGCCCAGCATGCACGCCAGCAACCGGTAACTACACTAAAGTAGCAAAGCGTAAGGTCATGTGCATTTTCGTGGTCGGGAAACCGGTGACGTAGTACATACATCACTTTGTTGTGTGAACAAAATTGGAGCGTGGACTCGGATGGACTGAGACCTTAATAAGTGTTAATGAATACCAGCAAGACGAGACCACCACTCTCCACAGCTAAGGTGGAGAATATCGCACCAATCATGATGGAAATGTATGGAAACGAGTGTTTCCAATTTGCAGTCGATGTCGGCGCTACATTGGTCAGGAAGGTAGCGCATGTCCTACAGCAGGTGAGTTGGTGTTGGGTAAGCGTAAAGTATACGGTAGACATGCGGAGCGCACACATGGAAGAACGAATCACATACGAAAGCGCCAGAGAGGCGACGATGTTGAGATTCGACATACAAGTGATTAAGTTGGCTTTACATAAGAACTTACCATTGGAAATCGACATCTTGCTTTATGATCTCGGCGAGTTGTTGCAACGAGGGTGTATCAATTATGACAAGGACCGAATATGAGTGGACAACGCTATGTAGAGATGGCCGGAGTCCGTACGGGCGCTCGGGGTTTGGGTTTGGTAGCTAACGAAGTATACGGACTCCACATTCATGAAGTCGTCCATACTGGACTGTCGGATCAGGAGCGACCTCTTCCGAGAAAGTTGGAGGCGTCTGCATTGGCTATGATCTGGGCCGATATTGGCATTCGAATTGGATAGCCAGGTTGGGGTTGGCTCCCCGCTCGTTCAGCAGAATTAGCAACCAGAAGGCAAAAATCTGGGTCGAGGGAGGATAGTCCCGACATACTCCATCGGTACAGATTCTTGCCAGCTGAGAATCACTTCAATCCACTGCATCAACACTTACACAAGTACACAGGCCTGTGGGTAGCTTTTGCTAAGGATACTCGACCACAACCTTCCCATCCTCGCTGGAGGGTTGCTGGAGGGTTGCTGGAGGGTATGCAGAACAGCCGCTATCCTTGCAACGATGTGGTTTGAAGTAGTTGTACCAAATGCATGCAACTCACGGACGCTGTCCCCCACAGCCCTCCAGCAACGATGGGAAAGGAGCCTGCCACAAGTGATGTATTGATCCTTCGGTGCAGTCCGTAGTACTGGCATGAGCCATAGATATGCCGTGCGCAATCTGCACTGTTTCTTCACATCGGCACCAGTTCTACTCCAGGCATCCAGACTCAGAAGTCCACCGTAACGTTGAGTGAGTACATAAACCCTTCTGCAAACTGACATGCGTTTTTTGGGCACTAGGCGTAGTCTGATCCTGTAAGTACACTGACATTTTAGAAGGCAGAGGGAAACTGTGGCGTTGGTCATCGATTCATCCTCCAGTACCCTACACCTCACGCAGACATTTCCTTACTGACATCTGATTCTCGATATCCTTCGTTGATAAAACGATACGTGGCCTCTGCCGTCTTTCATTTCGTGGCATGCACCCCCGTTCCTATCTCGGTGTCGTACGTTGATGACCAGTGTAAGTTGGTATCCCATGACTTTTCTCCGCAGCTCACATCACAGAACGTGTTACGTGCTCCTGTTACTCAACGTCAACGGGCATCGCATATAGCCCCGCCGACTATGACCCCTAATTGACAGTGTCACTCAGGACCCTGACGTACTTAACGAGGGAACACCGAAGGATCCCGACTAATCACACGTCTGTCCTCAAAGGATAGCGATCAGCACGTAGGGCTACACAGACACGACGCGATTGGTGCTTATACGTGGCGGTCCCTGCACATGCCAATGCATGTCTGGAGAACTGGTAGTCCTGCTTCGTGTACGTACTTCAATTGATGGGATCACAACCAGTTTAGCAGGCTCGAAACCAGGCCTGAAAGATTTTTTTTTGGCAAATTTACTGTGCCACCAGTATCTATGAGATCCGTTCCTGAATTCGCCAAACGTCTCGTCAGCTACGACCTCTGGTGAATGCACTATTCGCAGCATCATGCGCTCCCAATGCTCATGTCCATTATCCCCTTCGTGTGTCGAGTACATATCCACAATGTCAGTAATCGTCAAAATATTATGCCAAGGAATGTTAGGGGAAAAAAGACCTCACGATACGGTCATCTAATAAAGCGAGCCAAATATTACGAGTATCATGATAATGAACCATGCGAACCCGGCCGTGACGCCCGTCCTTGCCCATGTGCTGTTTCCGAACCAGACTGCGCCGAGACATCCAGTGACAGACGCGAGTCCGGAAATAAACAAGCAGAGGAAGGGCATCGCCAGTAGCGTAATCGTCAGTACGAACTTCAAATTGCTGGATCGCATGTCCTGTACGTCAAGCATGAGACGACGGCGTCAATGATATGATAGTCGTAAGAAGCCATCAGGATGAGGAAAGAGAAATTAAAAATTATAACATACTTTGACGGTTTGAGGTCGCAGAGTGTTGACGAACGCTAAGAGACCAATACCACTCAGAACAGACAATGTCGCAAAGACGCTGCCGGCTAAGATACAAAGGTATGGAAAGGGGTGACTCCAATTAGCGATATCTGTCGGACCGCTACTTGCCAAGAACGAAGCACATGTGCTACGATTGCGCACGGAAGAACGAGTGAGATGCGTAGGTCACAAGGGTGAGAACTAGACGTACCCAATTGCCAGAGAGGCGACAACATTAATATTAGATGTCCGATCGACCAAAAGCGTCTTTAGTTCTTTCCATTGCGTGTCATCTTCCTGTTCAATGATCTGCAAAAGTCTCTCCAACGACGGCGTGCCGAGTAAAAGTAGAAATGTAACTAACAGAAGTGCCAGGGAATCCAGAGAATAGACGAGAAATAAGAAGGCGAAAGCCGCGAGTCTAGTATCACGCACGTCTGCGAAGTTTGGGGATGGTACTATTGTCTTCGTCCAAACCGTCTATCCTAGAGATGTCAGACGTGATCCTCGATTTGTGGCCCTCCGGCATGATGAGCGAGAGTGCAGAGGCTAGGAAATATGGAGTGGATCGGTACTGATGGGATGGATGGTGAAGGAAGGAAGGAGAGAAGCTTCCAGAGCTTGTTCGTCTTATATGCATACTTCTGCTTGCAATGAGGCTCAGAAAATGGTAGGGGTGTGTGTTATGGGCGCTTAAGACAGGGTTCATATAACCTGACTTGGCAATTGGCCATTGGAGTGACAGCTGAAGCGAAGTTCGACATTCGGAAACCGGAAAGAAGAATATGATTGGGTAACGCTAAGAGTAGAGGCGCTCAGGGTTTGGGTTTGGTAGCTAACAAAGTTTACAGACTCCACATTCGCGAAGCCATCCATCCTGGACTGTCGGATCAGGAGCAGTGACATCTTCTGAGAAAGTTAGAGGCGTTTTCATTGGTTATAACCTGGGCCGATATTGACATTCGAATTGGATAGCCGGATTGGGGTTGGCTGCGGCTCCCTGCTCGTTCAGCAGAATCGGCAACCAGAAAGCAAAAATCTTGGTCGAGGGAGGATAATCCGAATATCCCGTCTCCATCCAGATTCTTGCCAGCTGAGAATCGCTTCCACTCCAGTAACACCTACATAAGTACACAGGCCTGTGGGTAGCTTCGCTCAGAGCACTCGACCACAACCTTCCAAGGTATGCAGGACAGCATCCTCACATAGTGTGTTGGGTGTATCGAAGCGGGGTACCAAATACATGTAAACACCGGGATGCCAGAAGGAGCCAGCTACAAGTGATACTTCTGTGCACTCCGTACAAGAGGAGTGGCTCGTGCGAAATGTACACTGTTTCCCCGCATCGACACCAGCTCTACCCTACGCATGAGTCCACTGTAAAGTTGAGTAAGTACGTAAACCATTCTGCAGAGTTGCATACAATTTGGGGGGGTATCATTGTACAGGTGTAGTAACTCCACCAGTAGAGGGAAAACAGGGAAATTCCGGTGTACCCGTGATCATCGATTCATCTTTCAGTTTCCTACGCCCACGCAGGCTTCTCCTTTTCCTTGGTAGCGTACATATGTCGGGGACAACTGACATCCGACCCTTGATATCCTGCGCTGATGAACAATACGTGGCCTGCGCCATCTTTCATTGCGTGGCTCGCGACCTCTCCATATTCTCGTAGCCTTGTACATTGACTTTGTTTACAAAAAGTGAATCGAATGTCATGAATATCATGAGAATGAAGAATGCGAACCCGGTCGTGATGACCGTCTTTGCACATGTGCTGTTTCCGAGCCAGACTGCACCAACAAACCCAACGACCAATATCAGTCCGGCCATAAACAAGCAGAGGAAGGGCATCATTAGTAGCGTAATTCTCTCGAAGAACTTCCGTTTGTTGTAGAGCATTTCCTGTATGTAGAGCATAAGACGTTGAGGAAGTGGCACGACATTAGGATGAGGAATGAGAAATTAAAACATACTTTGACGGCATCGGATTGCAGAGTGTTGACGAACCCTAAGACACCAAGACCACTCAGAAGAGACAATGTCGCAAAGACGCCGCCGGCTAAGAAACACACGTATGGCAGAGTGTGACTCCAATTGACGATAGCTGTTGGACTGCTAGTTGTTAAGAACGCAGCAGCCGTACTAGTGCGATTGCGCACGGAAGAACGAGTGAGATACATAGTCCACAGAGTTGAGAACCAGACGTACGGTAGTACCAGAGCGGAAACAGTATTAATATTAGTGGTTCGATCAATCATGAGCTGCCTTTGTGTTTCCCATCGTTTATCATTGGCGAGAATGATGTCCAAAAGTCCCTCCAACGATGGCATGCCGAATAAAACAAGACATACGACTGACAGAATGCCAAGGAATCCAGAGAATAGATGACGAATAAGAAGGAGAGAGTTGTGAGTCTAGTATCACGCACATCTGGGAAGTCCGGGAGTGGTACTATTGTCTTCGTCGTGGTCGTCCGGCATGATGAGTGAGAATGTAAGGGAGAAGATAATACGGAGTGGATCGGCACTGATACGGCCGAGCTTTTTCCTCTTATAAGTATGCCCTTGCCTGCAATGAGGCACAGCAAACGTCAGGGTGTGTACTTTGGGCGCTTAGGGCAGAGTTCATATGGCCTGAATTGGCCTGAACCATATCGTGACTGAGACATGTACCTGGCTGGAGCGAAGTTCGAAGTTAGGTACACTAAGAGGGGGAGGGAGGGAGTGACCCCGCTACTCGCCAATATTGCTCACTGGGCGTGCGTCTTTTGTTGGGATTCTGTGTAACTGACATGCGCGATGCGTACATCCGTGCGATTTTTCGTGTTGGTTGTCACTGTTGTGAGATGAGCACCTAGCAAGTACGAACGCCCTTATTTCCCCTCGCTATACGAGACGACCTTAGCAGCACCAGATATTGTACCGACCAAGACATCACGTGGGGTGGTGTTGTCCTTGCTTACCTCTCTCGGTTAGCAGATTTCAGGCTGGGTATCCTAAGTTGGAAAGACCCCCTGGGTAAGTGTATGTTTTATTGGCTTTACATTTAAACAGTGAAAGAACAACCTACAGGGCGAGTTTTTTTTCAGGCGAAAACGATCCGGGTAAACCGGCCTCGTCCTGGGACGAGTATGAATATCACATAAAGCAATGAAAAAAATCATCTGTGTGGAACTCGCATTCGCAACTAGATGGGAACGGTTCACTTGAATCATATACAACAACGCAAAATCCACACGCAAAAAGGCATAGAAATGGCATCTTGCGTATCGTGACAGTGACTGGATCTGGCCATGCTCATCTGCATCTCCTATTGTCATCGACCATAGGTGATGCGGTAGGAGTTAGCCAGAGCTGCGGGTGAGCTAAGGCGGTGAATTGACCCTAACACTGAACGACGACGCACGGTGTTTAAGAATGCGGGGCCAAGCTACTCAGGACGGCCGGAGTGGACACTTGGACGCGCTTACCTTAATACCGTAATCGGAAGGAGGCTCCGTCTGGTATTGTAAGCGTCAGAGGTTCAGCACCGTTCATCCTGTAAGTCACCCAGACATTAGCTGCGTCAGTAATCGCTGGTGGGATAGGGAGTTAGGTTCCATTGATACGCCCATAACAGTCCAGTAATCGTCATGACAAAACGGCACGTACCAAGGAGTTCTTCATGGCACACTTAAGTAGTCGGACACGGAAAAATGAAAATTTCTGCGTGTAGCTCGATAGCTCTACAAGCTGCCCCAGCCACAGTCAAGTCGCATTTGTCGGAGTTCGAACGTTCACAGGGCGTGATCGATGCCTCGCTGGAGCGTCAAAAACACTGCACTCAGCACTGAAACCCTGGCCACCATCACGCCAATTACAGTCCGGTAAGCTGTTATGGAAGGCAAGTGTGCCCTTGTCCCGAAACATCCGACTATCATTGGGCTCGAATCATACATATCACGTTTAGCTCTGGCTCGCACCGAGTTGCATTGGCTGTCACACTTTTTGGTAATGTAACCCGTGGTCGTCACCTTCCCGATGAGGGTCACTCTCAACGGCCAGTTGACTCGGACTCAATCTAATACACAATATGTCGATGGATATCGGCTACCACCTATTTGGTCAGTCCCATGCGACTCCCCGTCTTCTTCTGTTGCCATCCTTGTGCTTATATATAACTGACCTACGCTATACATACGTGTGATTTTTCTTCCTGGTCGTAGTTTTTAGGCGATGGTTCGAACGCCTATTTCCCAATATTGATATCATGGCGATGTGAGACAGCTACATCGGGTGGTGTTGTCCTTGCTTAAAACCAACAAACATCATTGGTGAACCCGATGGGTTTTCTAGTGATGAGCCTTACAGCCGGATTTTGATCGAGATGAGATTGTATTTTGATCAACTGCACTAGCAGGAACATTATTACATAAGCCACTAGTAAATAATCATGAGCTGATCCGATCAGGATTTCACAAGTTCTGATGTGCTCGCAGTCAATCGTGGTGGTCACCAAAGGACTAGGTTCGGTATCGGATTTTCGACGAACTTACGGCCATAGGTTGCCGTTCGCAAAAACTGCACCCACGTCGGAGGAAGCTGGTCTCTTTATCCAAGCAAGCGTGGACGATTTGGATATCATACATGAACTGCTTTGGAGACATGGAAACCGTGACTGCAGTGCTAACTGTAGTAACATACAGCTCCAACTTGAGACGTGAGGCTGAATCATATCCTGACATACTCTTAACTCATCCGACAAACCTCACGAAGGGTTCGGGAACAGAAGGACATACTCCCTGACAAGTTCTCCAAGACACCCTCGGTATCCCCATGTGCGGCAAATCCATATATCCGATGATCCGTGCCTGAAGTTCCACTAGAGCACATCTAAATCTGTGAAACAAATTTATGCGCTATCTCCAAGTAGCGTGGTTTCAGTAGGAGGTATGAAATTATACCACATTATACATACTCATACAACTGATGAAGTGCACCCGCGACATGTTAAAAGAAGTATCAGAAAACGAGCCCGTGATCGGATTTGTCATACCAAGTGCCTCCACCGAACATGATAGAGTTGCCATTGCACAAGCTCTTAATTCTCTGCCGGGTGTGCCTAATTCTGTGCTTCCCGAACCTCACTCGCAGATATTTGGCGAGGAATCGACGTCTCGTGAGTTCCTGTATGAGTAGCAAAATTTTCAAGGGTCTAAAACCTTTAAGCAGCCGTGACCAAGGTCGAATCGGTTCACGGTACAACATGTCTCCCTTCACTCCCCGCGAGTTCAACACTTATAAGAACTGCTCCACCTCCTATACCTTCACCGTCACCACCCTCTACTCCTACATCATCTCCCTGCTTCCTCAAAGAACACAACTGCTACGTATACCTTGGCAATGGGCAATTTTGCTTCTGAATTGGGACGATTTTATTCGAAAATCGGTCTTGGCACTCGCTAGCCCGAACTTAAGTTGCTGCCTCTTTATTTAACAACTCCCGCTAACGGCAAGAAGTTCCACTTCGTTGCATTGCACCTGCAGAGGGAATATTATGTCCCCAAAGTCAAACGTATACTTCTCCTTGTGTATACGTATAATGGATGTGATGGTACGTACCCTTCTACAATGTACATGAGAATGTCACACTGGAAGCTATGGATACCGTCTGTTTCTTGGTGAGACACCGTCATAGTAAGCTACAATGACTGGGACACAGTACACGCATGCGATACTCTGCGACCCGCATCTGAGAATGTCAATTAACATCCACGGCGATTATCGAGAATTTCGAGCCATCGCTTACTATGAGTCACCACGACGCGACCCTGGCCGGTCCGACTTGGTTTCTTTGACGAGTATCGCTGGCCGATCGCCAAAAAAATGTGTACATAAGTGCAAGCCTGAAGTTCAGGCGAAAAGCTATGTAGTTTGTTGATTGGTACCAATATACCGTCTGTCTATGTATTACGTTGTGATTTGCCATCAACATTCGGCAGCACGAGAGTTTTTTGGTGCAGACCCGGGGAGGCCTCACATTGTACACAAGCTAAGTCGCAGACTCAGTCGCCAAGGAAGGGGGGGAGGTCACGACTGCATACGCTGTCATCTCTCCGGTCGCTGCCCATACCAAGCGTCGGGTCCGCCAGTGCCTGGCAGACTGTACGTTACGAGGTCTTGGTATTTTTTCTTCCTTTTTGTTCAGTCGCCTCCGATTGTGTGGATACGCGTACGAGTGCTCAAAGTAGTTGCTCAGATTCCAACCGACAGTATAGGAGCCACCAACTTAGGATCACGGTGAGAAATACTCACCTGATACTAATATTCTTGTTACTTGCATTCACACCTGCCATTACGTTAACGCCTAGTTGTAGCAGCCACCGACATATTATGAGGGCTTGCGAGACACATGGACTAACACCCGAGTGCGCTTTACGCAGCGTCCCACACGGGGTTATACGGACACCCTAGCATAACACCATTATAAGGACCCCAATGGTCTGCTAATGTCGTTTTCAGAACTTGATCATCCGCGCCGACAATACATCGTCTACTAGGGTTGTCGTGTCCTGCGGAGTCCAAGTCATCGTCCTTGAACACCAGACGAGCTTTCCGAAACGTCATACCAGGACAAACAGCCCAATCATTATTTCCTTCGATATGTATCTCCCCGCTCGGGTGAGCGTAATCCATTGACATGAAGGGAACAACCGGAACGGGGTCGTGCTGGTTGTTAATATGGGTAAGGCGGGTGTGGGAGTCGACGTAGTTTGCGAATGCGGGGTTCCCCACCTAAAAATCCAGAGTGAGCCGTTTCCGGGCACGTCATGTCCTCAGCGAAGCATGGAATGAGGGAGCTTACACGGGGTAGACCATATGTGACAGTTTGAAAAGACGTCCCGCTGGGAAGCCATAATGGGAGGTAAATGGAATCGATCAGTGCGATGGCGCCTCCTACAAATGACATATAGCATTGTTGTCTATCCGGAAGGGGAATGGGCTGACTAACCGAGTGAATGCCCGACCATCGTCACTGATGTGCAGCCATATTCCGACATGGCTCGTGTGACTGCATCGAGTACGTCCTTCGCTGTCCTGTGGAAAGGAGGTGAGGTGGGAGTTCCCCTTGTAACACGTGTGCAGCGACACGCACACCGCTTGTTCATTTCTAAATCCACGGTGAACTAGTATATCGTCACCAATACCAGGGAAAAGGCTGTCGTCCAGGGGAACCAAAGAAAATTGTATATCTATGATGACCGGGACCCTTCGGCGAGAGGAATGGAGTCAGTTTCCCACTGATCTCCCTACAATTGTTTCAACAAGAATATGTAACTTTAGTTTACTTACACGTGCTCTATAACCGAACCCTGATGGGACACGATGACGGTGTCCAATGTGGGATCGTAACCAACGTACCCTGCCATTGAGATGTAGGGTTGCCTGTCATAAAAAAAAAACCCAAGCGCAGAGAAACGGGATGCCTTACAATACTGCACCCCTGCACCATCCCCACCCGATGCGACAGGTTTGAAGTTGGGGTTAGCGTCACAATTGGCTGTAAGATATAATCGGTCAAATGCAAGACAAATGCGTCAGATTCCCTTGCATAAACCCGCCACTACTGGCTATGCTTTGTACGTTTTCACGAGAGTGACATACCTCCACAGTCCCAGGAAATAATTTTGTCCGGTGCACAATACGCAGCGCTTGTATACCATGTATAAGGAGCGAAAGTATTTATTTGTGATGAAGTAAGGACCGTAATGTTCTGCTGATCCACAGGCGTTGGGGTCGGGGTCGGCGCAGCGCAAACCTCGACTAGTCCAAGCATGAGGACAAGCCCCGCAACGAGGATCATCATTAGAGAATGAGTGAAAACGTTGAAGAGGAAAAGAAAAGAAAAAAAAATCATGTTATGGTTTCACGACATACATACTGAAATCTTGACGGTCCGGGATCGTCGCTCGCGAACCGAATAAGCGAGCCTATGCAAGGCTTGGTGCTGCGCAGGCGGGCGCTAACTCTAACAAACGCTAGTGGCCACCGAGGACGGAAATCCTTTTGCGGAGGCGCTGGTGACTACGGTGACTGCATTTCTCACATTCCAGACCAAGCACAAGCAGTCCTGGATTCAGCTGACAGATCCTTTCGAAACTGCTTCCCTTTGAGGTCGCGGCTCGACGTATGTACCAAATCCCAAAGTACCACTCGAACACTTACATAACAGTACAACAAGCCCTATTATCATGCGCTCGTTTGCTAACAATGTTAGACAAGAAGTAGCCTGCCCGACATAACCAGATACCAAAATGGCCCATAAATAACAATGAGTTGACTCGATATCGCTTACCCTCTCTCACGGTCACGAATGTGCGAGTTCTCACTCTTTTGTCCTCCTACTGCCGCATACCCTCGCAAGGTAAAATGTTTACCCACGACTAGCAACCCATCTCGATTCCATTATAGGGACCAGTGTGGTCTGATTCATCACCCTGGAATATCGTCGGCACGTCGCCAACGATGCATTGGGTACTTGGATTGTCTTGTCCAGGGCATGCAGCCCATTCCCCAGAGTCCTCGATATGGACCTCTCCGGCGGGATGGACATAGCCGAGGGACATCCCTGGCAAGATTGGGACCGGATCCTCCTTGTTATTGATATGGGTGAGGTGCAAATTGGCGTCTACATAGTTTGCAAAGGCTTGATTACCAACCTGCTTATGCGTCAGCTTGGAATGTCACGAAGTGAGTCTGGGAATGAGAATTATACCCGAGGAAGACCATATGTAATGGTTTGGAAGCTCGTGCCTGAAGGGAGGTGAAGAGGGAGGTAGACCGAATCCAGGAGGGAGATTGCCGCCCCTGCCAGTGTGGGCAGAAAACGACAATGTCAGAAAACTGATTGCGCGGCAAGCAGTCCACAATAAATCACCAAGGGAATGGCCAACCAGGGTTACCTTCGTTGCCCCGTACTTGGACATTGTCGTCTGCACAGCCGTGAGAACCTGCGTTGCAGTCCTGGGCGATGATAGAGATATCATTGGTGTTGAGTAGAAGTGACAATTATGGCGGCGACGGAGAGCTTACGATGCCTGTGCACTCATGAAACCATTGTGGACTTCAATGTCTGAGGGGATTCCGGGGAACAGCGAAGAGTCGAGGTTCGTCAGGACGAGGTCAAGATCGGTAAGCAGGGGCAAACTTTCATTTCACATTCGGAAACGAATCGTCACGCCAAAAAAGAAATATGGTGAGTGCGAGAGAACACACATCTCGGAGACGTCGGTTCCTTGGTGCGCGACGATCACAGTGCTGAGCGAAGGATCGTATCCGACGTACCCTAATAGTGTATGGCCATGGATTCTCCCGAACGAGAAAACGAAACGGGATACTTACAATACTGAACAGAGTCACCGTTACCCCCAGAGGCAACAGGTATGAAATCGGGATTAGCCTCACAGTCGGCTGCAAGCCAAGACACGTGTTAGGTTGCAGCGTGTGTGGAAGATGGGTGAGCCATACCACCACAGTCCCAGGCGAGTGTCTGAGCAGCAGTGCAGTACCCAGTGCTTGCGTAGTAAGTGTATGGAGTATAGGAATCAATCTGGGATGTGGTGAGACCAGTGATGGTCTGGCGCGTGGTGAGGGCGCGAGCGAATGTGGCCAAAAGGACAGCAACAACAATGAAACACGACATCGTACGGCTTGCTAGCTGTCCCGTAGATGTTCGGTGTGGTTTATGCCCCAGGAGTGCTAGTCGAGAGGCCCCATTCCTTCCTTGTCAGGGTCTTTATGGGGGCGTTGGCCTCGAGTAACCCACAATCAGCCGAGGGGACACGTGCATTGCGCATTGTTAGGCCGCGGCACATGGTGCCCTGATAACAGGGAAGAGAAAAAAAGGAAGAGGTGCGGGAAAAGGACCCTATGTCAGGTTTCGTGCACTTAAGGATCGATCAAAGAAGTCGGCAGCATATTTTAAACGCAAGAGATCTAATAGATCAATCCAATCATATCAGTGGGATTTAACCGAACTCTCCCCCGATCACTTACTGACCTATTGTTATAGAGCCCTGTTGAATACGTAGTTGCAATGCAGCTTATAGTCTGAATTCTTCTATTGTCATTAACTTCCTCTTCCGCCACTGGGATGGAGTGACGACATAAGACGCACCGGGAGGCCCAACGTTCTGCCGGATCATTAACCCGTCATCAGCCAACCCACGGCAACATATGAACAAGCTGTACGGCACCACAGAGGTCACGAAGATGGCAACGTCTATCGTGGTCCACATGGTAAAAAAGTGACGGATCTCGGCCAATGCTACTTCTTTGATCCCAACGCAGCACCGGAGAGCGACAATTTCGGTCATTTTTGATGTTGGACATGCATTGACACCCCATGGATCCTGGTGGACTCGGGGCCTCGGAACCTAACCTGGGTGAACGCGCATGGCAGACATTCCTCAGAAGCGTGAGCATAGGAATCTGCGTAGGCATGCTAAGCAGTCCCGATTCATGCAAGCTGACTTGGACGAATCTTGTTCATGCTGCATGCCCACGTCAGAAATCTTCACATCCATGGGAACGGGATATTTTTATTATGTAATTGATTGGGATCGGATCGGCATATTGTGCATTCGAAAAGGACCGCCGATCCGTCGTACGGCGGTGCGAGTCAGCCTCCGCAGAGATGATGGCCACACAAATACAAGTGTAAACACTTATCATCACTTCTCATGACTATTGGTGTTCGGGATCTCCGAAGTAGATTTATGTGCTAGTTATTATACCCCAGTTTACACGTCAAACCCATCCGTGCTCCTTCCCCTATAGTTAGGAAGAACACCGGATAGTAACCCCATTATACGGTCCATCGTGATCCGCTTCATTCCATTGAAAGACAGTCGGGACATCTCCAACGATACACTCCGTACTTGGATTATCTTGTCCGGGACAAGTCATCCACGCGCCAGAGTCCTCGACGTGTACTTCCCCTGAGGGATGGACATACCCGAGGAACATGGGCGGCAGCGTCGGGATGGGGTCTTCTTTATTGTTGATATGGGTAAGGTACAGGTGGGTGTCGACGTAGTCGGCGAAGGCTTGGTTCCCTACCTGGTCGTTCGCGAAAGAAGGTTGGAGTGAGAGAGTGCGTACCAGGAAAGGGAATCAGTGGCTTACTCGGGGAAGTCCGTAGACAATGGTTTGGAAAGTCGTTCCCGAAGGGAGATGCAATGGCAGGTAAATCGAGTCTATAAGCGAAATAGCTGCGCCTTTAGAGACAAGAAAACATCAAGGTTCTGGTACACTATTCTCTCTGGTTGCTACATACCAAGGGAGTGACCAACTACCGTCACCGAAGTAGATCCATACTTTGGCAAGGCAGCTTGCACAGCCGCCAGCACGTCCGCGGAGGCTCTAGGCACAATTCGGATCACTGCTTGAGGATGCCGATCTGACAAGTGGTAACGGTCTTACCTCGCTTGTGCACTATTGAAGCCACTGTGGACCATGATGGACGGATCCAGCCCCGGAAACCTTTCCATATCCGGTGCAAGCGGCACAAGTATAATGTCAAGGTCAGTGAGAATAGGTAATCTGTAATGTCGTCACGCACCATCAACTCCAAAGCTCAACTCTCAAAAGGGGATGGAGACTTACAAGTTAGAAGTATTGGTTCCCTGATGCGCAACGATCACAGTGTTTAGTATGGGATCGTATCCAACGTACCCTGGAGTGGAACGACTTCACGTATGCCGCAACATACAAAGCAAGTCAATTACTCACAGTACTGAATGGCATCTCCGTCTCCGCCAGAGGCGACTGGGTGAAAGTTAGGGTTTGCTTGACAATTGGCTGTGAACCAAAACGTGCGTTAACTGAGCTTCGTCGGTCCGCAAGGGTCACTTTCGGGGACGCACCACCGCAATTCCAAGCAAGGACCGTAGCCGGGTCGCAGAAGGCAGCACTGACATAGTAGGTGTACGGCGTGAAGTAATCGATTTGAGAGGTTGTCAGGGGGGTGATGCCTTGGCCTGCCGAGGGCAGAGCCAGCGTGCTGAAGAGGGCCACGGTGAAGACAAGGAACATGACTGGTACGAACGCAGAGCCAAAGTACTCATCTTATAAGATAGTGGAGACGGGCGTCTGCTTAGACAGCTATTGGCATCCGCATCAGAGTACACGTCCTGAGGAGAATGGATCTACGTGCCTCGGGCAACAGTAGATATACTCCCAAGAGACATGTCTAATCTATCTCGTCGCGGGACTCCTGAATGGTAGATAATAAAGGAAGTCAGCGAATTAAATTTGTGGCGTATCATCCCATAAAGCCAACGACCTCTCCTAACCCCCCCCTTTCTCGTCAGCATTCACAGGTCCGTTGTAGGTTGACCGGAGCACAACGGTGCAAGGCAGCCCGGCGAGTACGCTCCACTTGCTAACCTTGGGGTTTCGAACGAGTACTGGAGCTTACCTGCTAGCCAAACAAGTAAGGGTTGGGCGCCGAATGAGGGCGAGTCGCACCATATCTGGTCACATGGAAGACAAAGTAGAAATTGGTTTACCAGTCAAAGCAGAGCTCGGGGCAACATATTCAACGTTTTGTACAAATCGACTAAGTTGCAGTGAACTTGAGAGCTTCTATGATGGCTATTTTACGCTGGTGGACTCCATCTCCAGACCTCAAGATGACCATGCATAGCGTAACACGGTCCGCGTAGAGCTGCAATCCTCAAGCTTCGAGTTCAGAGCAATCACTTACCATCTACAACTTCATCCCTCAAGGTGAACTTGTAAGGAACCATTGTTTCCTTTGCATCATGTTCCAAGCGGAGTGCCAGATGAAGTGGAATGGCCAGGAACGCGTTTGTAGGACCATGATTCGGCATGGATAAAGTAATGTTAGCGCCGTTCGAAACGGCCAGGCAAAGCATAGGGCCCTGAGTCGTGTTCTTACTTCATCTGGACTTGAGGAGACGCAGTGTTGATCCCCTTATTTACCCAGTCGTCACAGTCGTAATTGCATGGCATCCATACTGACAACTTACTGAGATCGAGTTGCATGGAGGGTGGTGCCCAATGTCTGACGCTAAGAGATATGCTGTGCTCGCCGTGGTGACGTACAGAGTCCAGACGAGGCTGTGGCTGTGTCACTACTGCGACTGTGGTAACTGCGGGCAAGGGTCTCCCCATACGCGTACCCGACTGTGCAGTGCGTCGATAATGGCCCCAGCTCACAGGACAGCTGCTTTTCTATGGGCGGCCCTTAGCTTGCTGCTCTACATGGGGTTCGCACTGGCCCAGGACCCACAGATGAGCATATCTTACTTTGACAATTTACCCGGCAGACTTTTCTTCTTCGAGGACACGCCAGTAAGTGTCCCGGTTGCATTGGTATACGTTCGTCTTCCCCTCACACAATCTGTTTAGACAGCGGTTTACTATGACGCTGTCGACGGCGACGTTTACATCACCCAAGACGAGGGCAAGACTTGGGATAGGGCGTCTGGCATTCCGAGAGGCGAGGCACTCATGGTCATAGCACACCCTTTCGATACGCGCTACGTCTGTGTCCATCTCCCGTTCGTTGCGTTCACTCACACCAATTCCAGGCATTCGTACTGACAGAGGGCACGACTCACTACCGCACAGAAGACCGCGGTAAGACGTGGCGTTCGTTCTCCGTCCCTTCAGCCCCTGCCTTTACACCTCTCCCTCTGTCCTTCCATTCGGACCCTACCAAATGGGGGTATATCCTCTACCAGGGCACCGAATGCACCCTCTCAGGATGGGGAAGGTCATGCACGGACGTCGTACGTCATACGACCGTGTGCTCTCATGCTACAGCCTAACATCTCTTCCAATTCATAGACATATTATACCACCGACGGATTCTCATCTGAGGCAAAAGAACTCCTTTCAGACACAACGCGCTGCCAATTTGCGCATAGCAGTAAAGACTTCAAACATGACGCCCACCCCGACCTTATCTACTGTGTCGGCTTCGACTCCAGTTCCACAGGCGAATCCCACTCCATTTCCTCAAGCCGCCTCTACTCCAGCACTGATTTCTTCCGCACTACCACTCTCGAAACCCTTGGCATGGGTCGTGGCGCCAAGGGTGTCGTCGCACTCGCCATAGTCTCCAAATTTGCCGTCGTGGCCCTCAAAGACCTCTCCCCAGGTGCAGACGGTGCAATGATGCTCTACGTCACAGTGGACACCAAGGAATGGGCCAAAGCCCAGTTCCCGCACGCGTCGCAAGCACGTCTACGTGAGAACGCGTACACGATTGTCGAATCGACCGTACACTCTCTCGCCGTCGATGTCTTAAGCCAGAACCAAGGCGCCCTCGGCACTCTGTTTGTCAGCAACTCAAACGGAACCTACTTTGTCGAGTCGTTGCGCGATACGAATAGGAACCCGGCTGGGTATGTCGATTATGAGAACGTGTATGGCATTGACGGCGTCGGGATTGCGAATGTCGTGAGCAATTCATTGGATGTGGAAAGGAAGGGCCAGCCCAAGAAACTGAGGTCCATGATTACCCTTAACGACGGTACCACTATCTCTCCTTCATCTAACGTGTGTACTCAACTCTGACCTAGGGAGCTCGTGGGCACCCCTACGTGCCCCGTCTCGTGACGTCGATGGAAATGGTATATCCTGCAACCCTAACGACGAAGAGTCCTGCTCGCTTCACTTCTACTCTGTAACTAACCCACACAACTTTGGTCGGGTGTTCTCCTCGTCGGCACCTGGTTTCGCCATCGGGATAGGCTCAATTGGGAAACAACTCGCCCCATACGAGGAATGCGATACTTTTCTGAGCACCGATGCAGGTCTGTCGTGGCAAATGATCCAACGCAATGCGCATATATACGAATTCGGAGATTCTGGGAGCATCATTGTACTTGTGAACGACGAGGGCCCAACAAACACGGTGCTATACTCCTTGGATTTCGGTAGAAGTTGGTGCGTGACGCTTCTCATATCACCTTCACCTTATCGCATTTCGCCGCACCGTAGTGTACGTTCTGACTCTTCAACAGGAAATCTTACAACCTCGGCATGTCCGTCCGCGCGAGAGGTCTTACCGGCGTCTCAGACGCTACTTCTCAAAAGTTCATACTCCTCGTACAGATCGCACGAGAAGACCAGAAAGCGGGGCAAGGTCGGTATGCGATCATCCACCTCGACTTTGCAGGAATTCGGTCGCGCAAATGCGGGGATAACGACTTTGAGCAGTGGTATGCACGTGCGAAGCCAGAGACCGAGTGTCTATTAGGCGTCAAGGTGCGTTGTTTTCAACCAGCTGCTTTGCGACGCCTTGGCTGACCAAAGAGGGATGGATTGAAGCAATGGTATAAGCGGCGCAAGGCCGATGCGGACTGTTATGTCGGTGATAAGTTCATCGATCCTGTCGTACATGACGAACCATGTCCCTGCGAGGATCACGACTACGAGTGGTTAGTACATGCGCTTCTTGGGCATTCTTGGCCATCACTCACTGGTACTCCCTCTATCTCAGCGACTACAATTACATCCGAAGTGGCGACCAATGCATTCCGTCAGGATTGGAACGTATTCCGAGTAACATGTGCACCTCAGGTCGGCCGGAGGAGACCTACATGGGTTCGTCGGGGTATCGCTTGATCGCGGGGGATAAATGTGACAAGGGTCGTGGGTTGCGCAAGGACGAGCCCGTGTCGAAGTCGTGTTCGCAAGGTGAGTTCCTGGTTATGTACGTGTCGCTGATTTGGGAGGTCACCTGACGTCCTCTCTTTTCGTCTTGTAAAGCCCAACCTGCAGAAGGGGAGGTTACGAGCCAGATCGTGAGTAGCGCGTGCATTTTTCTTGCCGTATCCTGGTGTAGATGACTTGTCGTACCCAGCATGAATTCTCCGCTGATATCATTCAGTACGAGTTCTTTAAGGATTCCAGCGTAAGTTTCTTGTTCATCTTAATTGGATACCTGACGTGTGCGTACCCCCACAGACAATTTTGGTTCGCCTTTCCGACCATACAATTTGGCAATCCAGTAATGAAGGCCTCACCTGGGAACAAAAATACCCTGGCGAACGTTTCCTCGCCTTCTACATGAACTCTCACACATCCGATCGCGCCTACCTCATCACGGACACCTCCAAATACTACTACACATCCAGCAGTGGACGATTCTGGCACGAAGCCAACGCTCCATCCCGACCGAACACATTCCGCGCGAGTGTGTTGAGTTTCCAGCCACGCTCGGACTATTTGATTTGGGTTGGAGATGTCGGATGTGACGGTTCTGGTGAACGGTGTCGTGCGGAAGCTCAGTACACGAGAGATCACGGACGGACTTGGCATTTCATCGATGACTACGTCGTCAACTGTGCATGGGCGCGCGACGACGAACTGAAGATCGACATGACGCAGATTCTATGCGAGTCGTATCTCCACAAAGAAGGTTCCCAGCGTATGTTTGGAAGGAATAACCCATTGCAACTTATCTCTGGTCGCGATTACTATGGGAAGCAGACCAAGCTATTTGATCACGTCGTTGGGTTTACGAAGTTTTCTGAATTTTTGATCGTCGCAGAGGTGCGTCGTTTTGTGATGTATTATGGACCTGTGGGATTGACTTTGGTGCGTAGTACGTTCCCCAAAGGAATGCATTGGATCTTCAGGTGTCCTTAGACGGTCGGACGTTCGCAGAGGGACAATTCCCACCTGGGATGCACCCCAACACCCACGTACGTTCCTTTGCGTTCGCCGCACTACTATCCATCTCACTTGGCCCTCCTCGAAACAGGCATATACCGTCCTCGAATCCAGCACGGACGCCATCTTCTTACACATGACCATGAGTGAACACCCGGCTCCGTACTGGGGCAACATCCTCAAATCCAATTCTAACGGGACCTACTTCGGCCTGTCGGTTGAGAACGTGAATCGCGATCAACATGGGTTCGTCGATTTCGAGAAGTTTGCTGGGTTGGACGGGATCGCGCTCGCAAATGTCGTTGCGAACCCTGCAGAGGCGGCCCTAACGGGATTGAAAGCTTTGCAGACAAGGATCACGCACAATGATGGTGAGTGTCATTTCGTGCGTGGTTCTTTTGGTGGTGGATTTACATAAAACGCATGGTAGGTGGGACTTGGAAACCGTTAACGCCGCCGCAATCGGATTCGCTCGGACAGCCATACTCTTGCTCGACGACGGTGAGTTCAATCCCGTAGATCCTCCTAGCATCTTTTCGAATGACAATTACACATTTTTCAGAAGTGTGCTCTCCACGTGCATGGGTACACCGAACGTACCGATGCCCGTGCGACGTACAGCAGTCCCGCGGTCGTAGGGGTCGTCATGGCGGTCGGAAACGTTGGTGAAATTCTTGCACCCTACACCGAGAGCGATACCTTCCTCTCTCGAGATGGCGGATTCACCTGGCAAGAAGTGCATAAAGACGCGCACCTTTGGGAGTTCGGAGATTCTGGCTCGGTGATTTTACTTGTGAACGACGAAGAGCCGACAGATCATGTCTTGTTCACTACGGACGAAGGGTTGACATGGAGAGAGTATCAGTTTAGTAAGGACAAGTTAAGGATCAGGGCAATCGTGACGGTGCAGGAAGATACGAGTCGCAAGTTTATGCTGATCGGGTATAGACCGCAGTCCTCGGTATCGTCGGTGATCGTACATATCGATTTTACATCGCTCACCCATCGGCAATGTGAATATTCGAGATTTCGGTGGGAGGTCGCCGTTGACTAACATGCTTTTATTCGCTAGGTGAACTGAAGGAGGACAATCCGGGCCACGACGACTTTGAGCTGTGGAGCCCGAGCGAGGAGAGACAAGAAGTCTGCCTGTTTGGCCGTCAGGTACGGTCTTACCTTATCGTTTTTCGTTGTTGGAACTCTAATCGACGGCAACGGATAGACGCTTTACCACCGCCGTAAGCGTGACGCAAATTGCGTTGTGGGCAAGATTTCCAAAGTCGAAGAGAAGATCGTACGCAACTGTGCATGTACGGAAGAAGACTTCGAATGGTACGTTGTGCCTTCTGCAAACGATTATCTCTTCTTGTTCCTCATCTCCTTTTTCTAGTGAGTTCAACTACGCCAAAAACGACGAAGGCAAATGCGTCCTTATCTCTGGGATGACACCTCTCGAATCGGACAACTCATGTCGCGGCAATGACGAGTACTGGTACGAAAGGACTGCGTACCGCAAAGTCCCGTATTCCAGCTGTGAAGGTGGATATAGGCCCGATCGAGGCTCAAGCCATCGTTGTCCGGGGTTGAGAGGTCATAGTACATTCTTCTGGCTAACGATTCTGATGTTCCCGATTGCGGTGACGGCATTGGTCGTGTGGTGGTGGTATAAGAAGAGTGGACTTGCCAGAGGGTACGTGTTGTCACGTTTTTCCGCGGTGATGACTAAACTTTTGCGCGCGCAGAACGATTCGGCTTCCAAGTTCCACCTCCGATTATCAGCCTCTCGGCTCCCTTGGCACTAGCTCAGGCAACGCCTTTGACACGCTCGCGTCCGTACCTTGGTTCCTCCTCGGATTGGCAGGTATCGCATACGCTTATGTCTCTTCGAGTATCGACAGCCTTGTTGGTGGGCTCAGATCCAGAAGAGGGTATAGAGATGTACCTGTCGATGAGGATGCGCAGATATTGAGGTTTGAAGACGAGGAAGAGTAATGTCAGTTAGGACTGTCCTTTGTTATCCTCAGTCGAACAGCGCGGAGGAAGGGAGGGAGGGAGTACTTCTCGCGTATCATAATAAGACGCAGTAGGTATATGGGTGGGCGAGCCGACCTCACACGGATGGATAATGTTCTATGATTGTTGATTTTGTACACTGCATGCGTACGTACCTCAGGCGTTAGTTGGGGAAAGGAATAATCTAGTATATATGATATGCTTGTGTTTATCATGTATATCAATCTCTTTTCTTCATTCTACGCTTCTCGAGATTACGACATGAGTTCCGAGAATGTATTGATATTCATCACGTGATCGACTACGCGTTCCGGGACATGCGTCGAGACATGGAACACGTTGCAGGAACAATGTACATAATGTCACATATCCATCACCACGAGTCCCAGGTTTCGATGGCGACCAACACGACTGTAGAAACGTGTCTAGCTTTTTATTCCAAACATGGATCGGAACGCATGAGAGAGCACAGGGAAAGAGTTACATGGATATACGAGGGCCGGCCTTTGAAACTGAGAACAAGACAGAAGTCAGCACAAGAACGAAAAGATGTATGGGAAACAATGGTTGCGAGAGGATCGTTATTAGGTCTAGCACAGTAGTTACTATAAATAGAGTCAAACCGGGTGAAAGGGGGGTGAGAAGTGAATGAAATGCAGCGTTCATGTGCATTCCGGAAGAATGAATCGAAGCGGTAGAAGAGCGGTGATGGGGAACGTGTACGACCCGTCGTACAGCAGCTTCGGAGAGGACATCGAGTCCTCGTCAATTCATTTCTTGTCTAGTTGGATATTGCAGCGATGATCTAATGCTCTTTCATGTCTATGTCTATGTCGATAGAACCATCAAAGTATTGGGCGTGGTCCGGGATGGCAGGGCTGGATGCGCGAGAAGGCATCATCCTCGATGGCAATTTTGGAGGGCAATCCGGACTGAGCAACGTCGGCGAAAGAAGGGTGGGAGAGGGTAATGTGGAATATGTATTATCTGTCCATGACCCAGCGCCGCGAATCGAGAGTGGTTGGCGTGGGATCGGAAGGTGGATTGTCGGTGGAGGAAGAAGTCCACCTGAACATTTGGATGTTGGAGATGGCGGAGGGACTGCTGGGAGTGGCACGCTCGGTGGAGGGGCAGTAGGAACTGTGCGACGAACGACGCGACGCGTCCTGCAGTATGCCTCAGTCCGTGCAACACATGGGCAAGGAAGGGACCCACCGAACAGATTGCATTACAGTGACACTTCCACTTCTCATTCTCCCAAAGAGAGAATTGTTCTCAGATGCCTCGTTCACACTTCCAGCGCGGCTGCGTGTAGGAGACATGATGCCAGCCCGTTGGAATGCACTGGTGGCATTTCGGCTGGGGGACTTAATAGCAGCCATTGGACTGGCAGCGATATTAATGCTTGAGCGCCGCCTGCGCATGTGGGGACGTTCACCACCCGCGTTCGCCGCGACAGGCTTCGCGTGTGGTGTGGTTGGTGTAATCGGTGGCTGTAAGGATTCCCGGTCGACTGGATCGACTGGGCTAGATGGTCTAGTGATCCCAGGAGCAAGAAGACCAGACGAGAAAAAGGCAGAGTAGGTCGCCATCGTCGTCGACAAGTACTGGAGAAAGCTGGGAGTGAAAGCCGAATGTTCAACGTTCGACCTTATAGTGTGGATTACATAAGGGAGTCAGGGGCAACAATAACAAAAAAATGGCCATGGCCAACGGGGGGATCGAACCCACGACCTTCGCGTACCAACCCTGCGGCCAGCTCAGGATGATCAGGCCGAGCCACCACAGGATCGAGTTATTAGCACGACGCTCTAACCAACTGAGCTAGTCGGCCGTCGAGCGACTTTTTTTTATTGCCACACCAGAAGGGCGGACTGTGACTGGGTCCGTCTTCTGTCGACGATCCATCAATAATACTGATAGCCGGTCCGGTGATTGACTCCAAAAGACTTCCTTGGCTGAGCAACTGACATTTTGCCACTACAGCGCTTGCGTATAAAAACGGCTCTGAACGTCGTGTGCTCTGGCAGTGATAAGAGGGCCTCCCTACCAGAGACGGTGTCCGTGTTGCTCTTTTCCGAAAGTCGAGCACACCGATGTTTCGCCGTATGGTATGTGTCACTCCCTCCCTGGATATCGCAATCTCAAGGCATTTATGATACTTGGATATAAAGCTGGAACTCTGAGACCTTGATAGGTGAGTGGTTCGGGGTGGCAGGAACCTCGTAACGACAAGTGCGGCCCACACGCCATCCTTAGGCGGAACGTTCAGATCTCCCAGAACAACAATGTGACTCTTGCCCCTTGTACATGCATCACCCGTACCGACGTTCATGTGTCCACCTTTATAAATGGATGTTTCTCCATGAGCATCGAGTACCGATTTCTCTCAGCTAGCCACCAGCGTGCGATCCCTTGCGACCCTCTCTGCCATAGTGCTTCTCGCTACCTCGGTATCCGGCCTTCGTCAGCATACCTCTCACAAGACTTCAACGCTCAGGTGCATATCTCAAGGGACTGCCCGATGCCGATCGTGCCCGCGCTTCCTTCCTGAAGAACCGTGTGTCGACTGGCGCAGCCATTGTCCCCGCCACTAACTTGGCGTACGTCCAGTATACTACCAGTGTCGGCATCGGCAGTCCGCCCACTAATTACAACCTCGTCGTCGACACTGGCAGCTCGAACACATTTTGTGGGAGTGGAATAAAGTACGTGCGGACGAACACCAGCATTCCTACTGGTGAGACTGTCAACGTCACATACGGTCTAGGTTACATCTCTGGCATAGAATGCACGTGCATAATATTCGCCCTGCACACGTGCATGCCTAGCACGAGACTGTAGACCTCGACCAAGTCACTCTCGCACCTAACCTCGTCATCACCAACCAATCCATTGGTGACGCACTCTCTTATGCTGATTTTGAAGGCGTCGACGGTATCATCGGTGTGGGACCTGTCATTCTTACTCAGGGCACCCTTTCTCCCGATACCAACGCAACCATCCCGACCGTGATGAACAATGCCGTCTCGCAGGGGTTGATCTATGATCAAGTTTTAGGCATGTACTTTGCGCCTGCAAATAACTCCAGTGACACCAGTGAGCCCAACCGTCTTCGTTCGTGTTATATCATTTTTGAGCACCGAATCATCAATCAGATAGAGCAATCACGTACGGCGGCATCGACTCGTCCCAGGTAAGGTGTCTCCACTATGACACGTCCTTTATGAAGAACATGCTCAATGATGTTGATGTGAGGGCGACAATATGAAGGCGAGTTGACATATACCCCTGTGACGAAGACCTTTCCTTCTGCTTACTATTGGGGGATCAACATCACCTCTGCAACCTACGGTAACAAAATTGTCTTTTCTGAATCTACAGCAGGGATTGTCGACACTGGTACAACACGTATGTCTGCCCCCTTCCCTTCCTTCCATGTACATATGCAGACACCTTCTATCTTTGTAGAGGTCCTTCTTGCGGACGACTCCTTCGATGTGTACCGCTCCTCCATCCCTGGTGCTACACTTGACAAGTTCACTGGTCTCATCACCATTCCTCCCAGTTCCATCCCCTACATGCAACCTCTTAACTTTACAATTGGCGATACCATCTTTTCAATGGATGTTGCTGTTCAACTCATTCCCACTGATCAGAATGAGGCATGGGGTGGTGTCGCCGGGAAACAGTATGGCGTTGTCGCAAATTTGGGAACATTGAGTGGGCAGGGCTTGGACTTTATTATTGGGCAGAAGTTCATGGAGAGGTATTATGTAGTGAGTGGTTCCTGATCTTCTGATTTTCGGGGGGAGGGTTTAATGGATCTCTTGTTACAATGCACAGGTCTTTGATGCAGATAACAACTGTATCGGATTTGCATTCACGTGAGTTGACACTCTTGTCATGTATCCTATGCATGCACACATCATCTGTACTGATGGTATGCATGATGACAGGAATAACACATTCTCGAAGTACATGGAATGAAAGTGGTCAAGTGAAATGTGGATAGGGTGTCATCCATACATTGTTGTCATGCATACTATACTTGCTTTCTTATGATCTGTAGGATGGTCATGTATTCATGTTATCATCTCAATTTGGTCTGGGGAACTGATCATCAAAGACTAACAGACAAGTAAGACATGAAGCAGACAGTAAAGTCAGTGACATGTTGCCTACATACACCCCTCCCAATCCATGGGTTATGCTCACTCCATCCACTACTGCTCCACCATACCTCTGCTAATCAGTTTCATATTGGTTACTAGTTTCTGTAGCCATCCCTGTGAGTGCTGGACCTTCCCACTCGAAGATTGACATGTATGTATGTACATGTGGTGTGGGCAGCAGAGAGGCAGTGATGCAGGAGGCAGATGTGGGGTACTGAGAGGACATGTAAAGCTGAATGTCAGACAGTGTGATTGAGTAACCATTGCTTATGAATCATAGAATACAAAGTCATGTAGGTCATACTAAGGCTAAATGACTGGTGTGAAACATTGATACCACTTATCCCCATGAACCATCTGGCTCAAGTCCAGTTCTATACAACCACCCCTTGAAATAATTGCTGGGTTCCACATTGAGTAAAATGGCTCCCAAAATGTTGGAGGGACCCAAAGCAACAATTTCCCTTTTGGGCCTCTGATCCGGCCATCATTGAAAAGCTTGACTGGTTCACACATCACATGGACATCTTCCCCCAGAAGGCCATCAAGCAGTTGTTGAGCATCATGCAGTGCATGTGAGGAGAGTGATGAAAAGTGGATTGAGTATGCTGCAGTAGATGGAAGTTGGTTAATTGAAGACAACACATCACAAGGGGGACAGTTCTCACCATTGATAATATCAGATGGGTCACTTGTACTGTCTGGATGGTAGGCAGCCCATCTTGCCATGCAACCCTCATAGGCATGAATATCCCAGACCCTCACAGTCTTATCAACTGAGCTTGAGACAATCCTCTTGCTGTTATGCTTCGGTCAGGGGCCTTTCCTTTTTCGACTCTTCGCAGTCATGTGTGTCACGTGCCTCGTTGCATCCCTAATAATCGTCGCCATCCTAGGGGCCTGGATGCTCCATGGAACGCTGGGATCTCCCGCTGTCATGGTATTTCCAATACCAGCTGAGACTGCGTCACCATTGTGATCTGACATCCACCACCCACTGATGGACGACTTGTTCATTTCTTGTTCCAATCCCTCACCTCTGACTCGTTTATATTGCTTATATGTTATACTATAGACCCAGCATCAGGCTCCTCACTGCACATTGATTGTGCAGCCAGTATAGCCTTTGTATCCTTCCTACCCCCATCAAATGATGCTGTATGACTCCTTTCTATTTCACTGATGACTTTGTTGATTACTGCGGATATGCGTCGCGACGTGTCCCTCACGACTGGTATGGTACTCGTACTTAGGAGTATATAGTCCTATGTACTCCATCCTGTATCTGCAGTTTTTCGATAGCTTGCAACTGAGCTTCATCCCTTTGATCTAATCCTTGTTCTCTCTCCGCGTGAACAACCTTAGGGACTTGCCAGCAGACAGAACCTCTGTTGGATTACTTCAATAACTCAGCCATAGGGGTTACGACAAGTTCGGCCCGTAGACTCCCACCTCACATGCTTTGTGACTATTCCATTTGAAGAAGTCACCGTGCTCGGGCATAACAAAATCGAAAAACTCTACGCAGCTTTCAGGACTCGTCAACCTCTTCACGAAAGTCTACTTGTCCCTCGGTTACTGAACTTCAACAAACTGAACTCAACTCTCCAAAGGCTCGTTGGTCTCCCTCAGTGTAAAGACTAACTTGCTTTTTCCATCTGCCTCTCAACTCGGACTCCATTCAGCACCAATAACAAAATTGAGAAGCATCCCTCTACCCTTAATCAAATCCACCGCTCTACAGGCAGCCACTAGGCTTTAATAGATCGCCTCCCTAGAGTTCCACGCTCATGTCTCCCTATGTGTAAAGTCACTTGCACACTACTTCACTACACTGACAGGTTTCTTTCGAGAAATAAATCCTCCCTCAGCCTTCATTATCACTTCTCGTTAAAGTGTCTAACCCTCGGAAGTCAGGTCCTCCAGTCCCTCCCTGAATTACACCATTAGGACTCAGCAGGAACCTGCCTCTACCCCTGATACCAGGAAGACTAGGGCTGTCAGCCACAGCTAGTAATCCCCGGTTGTCATATCTGTCCTGTTTTAGGGAATCAGAAGTCACGTGTAGTTCAGAAGAAGAAGATGATCAGAAGTCTGATACTTCTTTCGGATCAGTCCTCAAGGAAGAACAAGAATTGCGCAAATCACCCGTTATGTCCATGACACTTGGTCATGGAGAATCAGTCCCTGAGATGCCATCTAAGGTTTTCTCCGAAGTGGAACTGAAGGAAAAGTTGGAAGAACAAAAGCGCTCTTTGGCAGAAGACTGGCGCAAGATAGCCAGTGGACAGTCAAGTGACCCCTTTCCAACAGGAATGCCTACAGACTCGGCTCTACGAGTTTGGTATGCCAGGAACTATGGAAAGGTAATTCCCCCAGAGGACCCCATTGGTGGGCCCAGTAAGGGTAAGGCCCCAGTAGATCCTGACGACTTGTATGATGTCCACCCACCCAATGGAGGAAGGGAGTTTAATGTTGGGCGTCCTGGAGAATACGACGGAAGCCACAATGGGCTTCAGACTTGGGTCACGCAAGTTGAAGGCTACCTGAACCTGAACAAGCACATCTATAACATGGAATTGCTCAAGATCTTGTTTGCCCTCACGTACATGACCAAGGGAGCTGCTGTCTCCTTTGCCGAAAATTACCAAAATGAAAATAAGCTTCTCGACGGAACAATCTGGTACACTGATACTTTCCAGCGATTCGTCAAATGTCTCAAAGCTACTTTCGAATCCAGCGATCAGACTGCATTGGCTATCCTACATCTCTCAGATATCTCCCAAGGCAAATGAGAACTCGAGTCATATATTGCCGAGTTCACGGGGCTTGTTAACAAGGCTCAACTCAAAGAAGAGTCACACAAAGCAGGGATTTTCTTTGGAAAAGGATTAAACAAAGAATATTGCGATTGGGTTCTCAATTCAGGACGTGCCCCTTCCATGGTAATCGAGTGGATCCAGTGCGTGGGAGAAGCAAGAACCATGATCGCTACCAAACATGTCCTTGAAGGAAAGGAATCTTGGTATGAACGCAAATTCATTCATTACCGCAGAGGTTCCAGAGATCCTGATGCAATGGACGTTGACAAAAGAAGAAGGAACGTTAGACGTTCTAACTCCGAAATTACATGCTTCGAATGTGGAGCAAAGGGTCACTACAAGCGTGACTGCAAATCAAAGCCTAAAACTCAGCCTCCTGGTATTAGAGTCGTGCTTTCCCAAGACGGAATGAAGATGGCCTATATGGGAGATCGGTTGGCGACAACTGAGGAAATGAGGATGTATGGGCTGAATTTTTAAATGGGACCGCCGACACTCCTAAGGCAGGTCCTGCTTCTGTATTGTCTGCCAACTGTACTTCTATAGATGATGAATCCTTCATGCAAGTCGGATCTCCTCTTGGAAGGGCTTGGTTGCTGGATTATACAGCAGGAGTAATGGTCTGCGTCAACTCGGGCACAGAGGTTTCGCTCATTTCAGAGCGAATTGTTCAAAAACTATGGATCCCTTCGTATCGGGTCAAGAGCAAGTTCAAGACGACTTCGTTCACCAGTAAAGATGTCGAATGGGAAGGAACATATCCTTCTAGGAATGCCCTTCCTTCGCAAGTTCAAGCCAAGAATGGACTGGGAGCACAACAAAATCACTTGTTGGGATGACGGGTTTGTACTGAACTGAACTGACGACATCTATATTAAGGAACAGGTCCCCTCTTACGATGGATATGCTGTCAAGTTTAATGAAGATGGTTCTGTAAAGGAACAGGAAAGTAGAATTAACAAAACTACTCTTTCCACAGAACTCAAGGCTGCCTTATCCTCAACAAAGGAGGAAGTGCTACTTCCGAAGGAGTATCAAGAATTCGCTGAAGTGTTTTCAGAAGAGGACATCCTGCTGCCTCGCCATTGCCCTGGTCTCGACCATGAGATCAGACTGAAGGACGACTTCAAACCAAAGAAGGCAATGGTATACCTGATGTCCCCAGATGAACTCAAGGCTCTAGACAAATTTCTTGAAGAAAACTTAAAATGCAAAAAGATTCGACCCTCTACATCGCCACAAGCAGCACTGGTGTTCTTTGTTGCCAAAAAGGATGGAAAGAAGTGATTAATCCAAGACTATCGCTATCTTAATTCATTCACCATCCTGGACGCACACCCTCTGCTGAATGCGCAAGCGCTTTTTGATGAGCTGGTCAAATCCAAATATTACGCCAAGTTTGATATCCGTTGGGGATTTACTAACCTGTGGGTCAAAGAAGGAGATGAATGGAAAGGGGCATTTATAATGCTGAGAGGGTTGTTCGAACCCACGGTAATGTTCTTCGGACAATGCAACTCACCCCCTTCCTTTCAAAGATATATGGATCAAACCTTCACACGCCAACGTGGCAAACAGGTAGGATACATGGATGACGTAGCAATCCATGCCAAAACGAAGGAAGAACTCAGGGCCTGTGTCTGCAAGTTCCTTTTAATTTTCAAGGAAGAAGGACTTTGCCTAAAGATTAGCAAATGTGTCTTCGAGGCCGAAGAAATCGAATTCCTGGGAATGATTATAGGAAAAGGACGTATGGAAACTTTGCCGATGAAGACCGATGCCATTAGTACTTGGGAA